CCGATAATGCTCGGGACGAGCTTGTCTTAGGTGGGGATAGTGTTGCGCGCCATAATTATTGCCACTAACGCCATCTAGTATCGAGTAGCAGAACTAGGAGCGCTTTGTAGAAAATTCCATGCCAGAACTTTCGACTCGAACATTCTAGATGTTTCAGTGGAAGAGGCACTTTATAAAGGCGTTAAGGGCTACGACCGGGGCAGTATTGAATTGCCAATACACGTGAAGACTTCGGAGCAAAATAAAGTGAACTAAAGTGTTAAGTTTGATTAATCATTAGTGTGTTTTAAGTTTTAATTGGTGTTCGGTAATTAAAGTGTCAATTTTGGTAATTCGATCGGCAGTTTTATCGTCACGAACGCTAGGCTCGTAACAGTACTATCATAATTCATAACATATTTATGGGCGAGTGAAAAATATATCGATGTGTATCTGATCGATATTTTTAAACAGTATCTATGTATATCGAGTAAAAAATACTGATATATCGATATATCATCATGTTTTGCATGATGTAGTAGGATAAGGTTCAAAATTTTTTTACTGGACAGTTGGAGGAAAAAAGGCCACATAGACACATGATTGCTTCTGTAGCTGCTTGCTTAAAGTTTAGTCGATTAATACATTAATATATCGAAATTGATATGAATTTGATACTCTAAATTAAATATCAAATACCGACATATTGGAATTAAAATTATCGACAGTATATATCAATCAGTATTTTAATGAGAAAATATCGACATTTGGATATATTGATATTTTTACCCCAAGCCGTACCTAACATTGGTAATATGGTTTATAAATCATAACATTAGTAAGTTAGTTTGTGTCATAGATAAATAGAAATAGTTTGTGTCAGTTTTAGGGATGATCGATGTTGCAGAAACATCGATGTTGGTATCGATAGCTTAACATGGATGTTCGATGTTTATCCCACTCACAACTAATATCGATGATCATCGACATCCCTAGTCAGTTTGTGTTTGTGTTATGAAACTGCAACGTACATTTCTCGATAAATCTGTTTCAATCTAATAACTCACTATTTATCAAATTGAAATGAATGCTACACGAACACAATACTGGTTATTTCCTTACTATAAACCTCTATAAACATTAACATATAATATTTATTTACAGTATCTAGGTATTTAAAAAGTATTCTGTCTGTACTTACAGCTCACAGTGTGTATGTTTTTGATAAAAAGTAAAGTAAATTCACAAGTTCCAAATTCAAACAGAACCCGTTTGAATTGTGAACTTGTGAATTTACTTTAATATATAGCAGCTATAATATTATATTATAGTATGTGTATGTAGTCTTTGTTCACAGGTAAAATTAGAATTAGAATTTTAGAAATGAAAATGAAATGACAACTTTTCGATATTGTTGTCGGATGCGTTCATAAATATTTGTTTTATTCAAATAATATATATTGCGTTCAAATTTTCAACCATGTACGACCGGTTGTTTTTGCGTCCCCCAACAGCAAAAAATTAAAAAACTGCGGTATCTTACCCCAGGCAGTTTGGGAATTTTATAGCTAGTTCATGAATCAGATGAATCAGTCCGATTCGAAAGGTTTTTGGATCGATTCAGTGAATCGATGTGGTGCTCCGAATCGATCTAAAAAAATTTTACTCCACGATTATTTTACTCCATAGAATCGATTTTTCAATTAATCGATTTTAGATCGACATGCCTAGTTTGTGTCAAACGTCAGTTTCTCTATCTATCTAGTCTGTGTTTGTGTCTCAATACTGCTCAATACTCATCACTTTATTAAATAATTACTTATTAACTTATTATTCTTTGATTCTAATTTTGTATACTAATGAGAGTACGTTAAAGAAAGAGTTATTTGAAATTCTAGAAATCAAAGACCAAAACTAAAGTTAAATATAATTTAAGATCCAAGTCCAAGTCGAAGATCAAAGACTGAACAAAATTAGAGAGTACTGTATATTCCTTGGATCAAAGCATAGTTAAGAGGACCCAAACTATTAAGAAGTAGATACTAGTTAAATGCTCAAATACTCAAACGCTACTTAAACTCAATTTAAAGTTGCCGTTAAGTCTCGGCCACAAACTAATAAGAAGTAAAGAGAAGATTTTGGCTGTATCTATCACTTTAAGTCAAAATGACTAAGGCTGAGATCTACAGACCGTACTTTGATTTTGCTTAGACTACTCACGAGCTAAGACAATGTCGGTATTTATAGAACTAACTTCGAAGTCATGCAGAGTGTGCAGTTAGCAAAGCCTAAGTCAACGAAACCGACGACTTAAAGAAAACTCAAGATATAAACCAAAACCACCATATGAATTTTAAATTGTTTTTATGTTACTGTTTTTAAATGTGTAGTTTTAGGCTGTCTTCAAGTTTTAATTAGCATATATCCATTTCCTATTTACATAATTTCTAACTTATTTTGAATTTCTTAACATCTTTTTCTTTTTGATTTTGCACACTTTTGATCTGTTCCTTTCCACAATTGTCGAATTAGTAGAAAGACAGATATTTTAGGTAAACAATATAAATGTATATTATTATTAAATGTCTAAAGTTGATAAAACTCTATATTCCCCATTTTATCACAGTGCTTAAACAATCCTGGGTCACAGAAAAGCCCAAAGAATGACAGGTCCAAATTCCGAAACCGTAGGTTGAATAGGTAAATAGGATCGGGAGTGCAAGTCCCAAAGCCAGTTGTTATAAAAAAATCAGGCATTTAAAATATAAATAATTACTTAAAATGTACACAATATCATTACACCAAAAGCTTCGCGTTTGAAACAGTGATTTGTCAGCTGACTAAACATTCTGTTTCATTCTCATAATATTTTAAACTAAACTTACTAAAATGTACTTTTATCTCACTTTAAACATGCCTGTTTCTATTTCATATAATAATAACTTATTTATGAAATACAATTTGTTTTATTTTATTTTTAAATATTAATATATTTGAATTTTATATGCTTAACTAAATCTTAGCCCGATACAAAGAACTATAAATTCAGAATCAAAGATTATGCGAAGTATATACTCAACTAAGTTGTTCGTGAGTATAGTCTGAAGAAAGTCAAAGTACAGTCTATAGATCTTAGCCTTAGACCTGTGACACCATGAGACTTAACATCTTATAATTGAATAGTGTTTAAGTATTTGGCCACAAGAGTGTAGAATCCTCTAGTAAGATAGTGGAGTGTTTAATCAAGAAGATCAAAGAGTACAATAAAAAGTGTAAGAAATCGATTTACAACATAGTCTACTCAAATTTTTTTGAAACAATGAATTTTTTAGATAATTTTGATCCCGAAACTTCAGCACGCGAAAGAAGAAAATTGAATCGTAAAAGTTATTTTATGAAGTAAGAGTTACATGATCAAGTATATAATCCATGTAATTTTAATAATTAGTAATATATTGTGATTGACTTATTTTCAGTCGGAATTGTAAAAAGATTTATAATGAAAGAGGACAAATAGCTGCTACGGGTAAAGATCTTTGTGACTGTTTAGATGAAACTTGCCCTGGTTGTCATTTCCCATGTACTAAATGCAATTCTAATAAATGTGGGCATGAATGCAGGTAAAGTGTTATAATTTTAATTCATAGAAATGACTGACAACCTAATGAATAAATGAGTTTTACATGTTTGATAAATTTTTACGGATGTGAAATGTATTTATTGAAGAATTTTAATAACATGTGCATATTGTGTGAATAATTGGAGCATATTTACATAAATACTTTATCAAAACTATGAAATAACATATAATATATATCAGCAAAAGTAAGTTGTGCCATGAATCCGTTCAGCCACACCCTATTTAAAAAGTTGAGCCCCAGCATTATTTAACTTCACTTACTGCCACTGAAAATCCTTCAAAGTTCATATTCTTGTTGCGACAATTTTACTGCTCTTCAAAAGTGTGGCCATTTGTAGATTATTATTATATGGTTGATTCCATAGTATTTTTTATTTTTTTTAATATTTTTTTATCAAATTATAGTGACAAAGAAACAGTCCATCTGATGAGACTGCTATCTTACATAGTAAGCTGAATTTTGTGAATAGGATTTCATCCATGGGGACAGGACATACTTTTTGACCTAATATTTTGTTAATAGGAAGTCGCTGTATAAATTGAAAAAATTTAATGAATGTAATGGAGATCTTAATTTATATAAATTCACTTATGACTTTTTCCCTTTTTTTACACTTTTGTTTTTATACTTAAAATCATTTTATTTATTTTTGTATTTTAAATTTATATTTTTAATCTCATATTGTCCTCTTGGTTTCGTATGAGGCACCAGAGGGAAATAGCAACAGGTGATGGGCAGCTTCGTGATAACAACCCAGCTGCTAACTCGTCTGCCAAGTGTGGCAACTGTGGCAAAATGCCACTTTGAAACAATCTATCGGGGAGGCCTATGTTCAGCAGTGGACTTTTAGATACTGTAATGGATATTTTAAATAAAATCTACTGCTGAACATAGGTTTTCCCCAAAGAACTCAACTTGGTCCTGCGTCACCAGTATCCATCAACTTACTGCATGTTTTGCCAGCCCTAGGTGCAACCAACTTTAAACTAAGAAGGCTATAAATGCATTGTCTCCGCCTAGGATATATCTAAAGCCTGTAACTATACTAGCTCTCTATACCTTTCAGCCCAGAACACAACAGTGCATCCACTGCTGATAGGAATACAAAAAAAAATAACTATAATCATTGTTAGGTATAAATTAGTTTGTTTTAACATAACTTCAATATGAAACCAATAAAAATATAACATTATTAAAATTTTATTAACAATGTTTACTTGTACCACATTTCCACTTTAGGAAAAGATAAGTCTTGTAAACTGTAACATATACTTTTTTTTAGGGTAAACCGGAAATGGATGTATGAGAAAATTGAAATTGAGGGCAATGACTTTGTTATAAAAAATGTTTATAAAAGTAATAAATAAATAAAATTACATTTCAATTATTAGTAAGCAACTTAAAAAAGTATTCAACTTCTGATATCCCTGCTTCTGGAAGATCTGTGCAATGAACTGCATTATGTACAATGGATTTGCCATATTGTGCCCTTATTGAATTTGGGTATAGTTGTCTGCATAAATCCTGCAATAAACATGTTATTTAAATTGTGTTTGTTTTGTCAATAATTTTTTTTCCACAATAAAACTTATTCTGATTATAAACCTTTTTATAAAATTAAAATGTCCATCTGTAATTTCAATATAACTAACTTCATTAAACTCATAGAGTTATTTATATGCCGTTAACTATTTTTAAACCATTTTTAAAATGTTTGTTTTTCTGTTTGTCTGTCCAGGCTATTCATTGGAATGATTGCACTAGTTGCAATGAAACTTCACTAATATACAGAGATTTATCCTAAAAACATGTAGGGGTTTTGTGGAATAGAAAAAACGTAAATGGATTTGATGACAAAAACAAAACTTTTAGGGCTTGCAATTTTACACAGAAAAGGTCTTTACACTATATCTTCCTAAAATTTTGATACAATACCGATGTAGGTATAATAACTAGACTTGCAAGGAATAGTATATTCGGTCATACGTCGAATACCGAATATTCTGCGGATTTCGCCGAATAGCCGAATATTAGGCAAAAGTATTCGCCTCGGAAGGAAGTAGTGTTTATATTCAGAGCGTCTAATCTCTGAAGCCGGGATTGCTTACGAGACGAAAAGGAGTAAACTACTGCCTGAAAATGAAGAAAAATTAGTCCTTCTGCACCATTATCTTCCACTATAATTGCGATAATTCAAGTGCATAGACATCCGAAAATTCTTTTCTTTTTATTATGGAATCTGTGATTACAAGAAAAAAAATTAATATTTTCATTCAACCTCTTAAGTATTCGGTATTCGGTCAATTAGTAACTTGATATTAATTATTCGGCCGAATAAAAGTATCCGAATAGGCCAAACACCAAAAAGTAGCTGACTATTTATGATCGCCACACACGGTCAGTTCCACAGATCAGTTCAAACTAAAACTGTTGATATTTTTTAAATATTGTATTGAGCTGACCGTGTGTGGCGTAATAATATATTTTTATTGATAAGACCCTTTTTACGTAAAATTAATAGATCTTCTATTTTATTTTAAACACATTCTTATTGCACATAATTTTTTAGATAGTAATATCTAATATAGTAATATAGAAAAAACTGAATTTAAAGTAGGTTTTCGGTAATTGAACTATTTAGCCAAAGACTACATATTTTATATATGCATTTCTTTTTTATTCTACGCGGCTATTTCCAAAAATCGGCAAATTTCAATCCATGGTCATTACAGCCTATAAAAGTTTACTGCTGAACATGGGCCAACCCCATAGATTGCCTCAAAGGGGGGGATTTTGTCACAGTCGCCACGTTTAGCAAGCAGGTTGCTAACCGTAGTTTATAATATTATCTAGTTGTTATCAGGAAGACGCTGCTGCCCATCTCCTGGTTTGTTTCCCTCTGTCGCCGCTACGATACCCACAGGACGACATGGGCTAGTGGATATTCTAACACCGCGGCTACGTGGCAAGTTCAATCATAAATATCCACCACATACGTGAAATAGTCACATTGAGGTGATTCCACATAGTGCTCCGTATTGATATACAGCCCTTCACAAGTCTGCTGCTGAACATATGTCTCTCCCAAGGAATGTCATAAAGCACGGTCCTGAGCCACCTGCATCCATGGACTTCCTGCATATCTTACCGTCGTCGTCACTCCATTCAGTGGGGGGCCGCCCCAGACTTTGCCTTCTGGTACGAGGCTGCCACTCGAGAACCTTTACTTTCCCATAGGTTGTCGGTTCTTCGGAGCTATATGGCCAGCACATTGCCACTTCAGCTTACTAATCCGTTGGAATAATCCGTAGTTCACGCGAGGAAAACCTTGGGTAGTATTAAATAATATTAGTGCTTCAGGAGTCGAATTTTCACTAAGAAGTTCGTAATATGTGAGGAATCCAAGTTCAATAGTGATTGAAAATATTGCAAGGAAATCTACGGACATGTAATTTAAAATATTTCGGAGATGTGTGAGAGAGGCAATCTGCACTATAATAGTGTTGCAGACTCACAGCAGTGAGAGGAGGCCTGCGCCCAGCTATTTGTTTAACATTAGTATAGCCTTCTACAATGCGAAATAAGGTCCCAACATCAAATAGCAGTTTGCTCATTTGAAACGTTTTGAACTTAATAATAATTTTACAATAAAGTTGTGATAAATGAACTTACAGTCCACCTGATGGTAAGTAGCTACTGCAGTTCATCGACCCCTGCAGTCAACTTAAAATAAAATAAAGAAGGTTAAAGATGCGCGATCATAGTACTAAGATGGAATGTCTCACAGCCTATAATTTTACTGACTCTCTTATCCCTTCACTTAAAAATAAGGATTGTAATAGTGAGGGTTTATACCCAATGTTTGTCTGCATGCACTTGACTTAAGTACCAAAAAGGTACCGTGACAGCACAGTACAGTGATTGTGAGCGGCATTACCAGTGCGAGGCTGTCGGCTCTACACTTCTACCGCTTACCCTGCGTGGTGATTACGGAGTGCAAATCTTTCAGTTTTATGCCAGTCACTACAGCCTACCTACGCCTCGTTATGGATTTTGTATCCTACATAAACTGGTAAAGATGATTTTTTTCTTTTCTTTTCTGAAGCAGAAGCACCATATCCACAGGTACAATACTAAAATCCCAAATATACTATCAAAATTTTGGAATTCATGTGCAAGACGTAGTATCATAAATCAATACGTGACCTTTTTTATAGAAATGTTTGCCACGTATTGGTATGGAACGCTTTCACATACTTCCCAATCTAATGGGGGGGGGGGGGGGTGATGTAACTAACTAATGCGATAAAATCGTAGGTAAAGTACAGTCATATGGTGGCCACACACGGTTAGTTAAAGTCATCAGTATCGCTCCACTGGCTTCGCCCCTGCGTGGGGCATCGAACGAACACGCTAATGCTAGTGCTACACTAACGAAAAACGTGAATGCCTAAAAACGCAATAAGTATTGCTTTAAATTTAACGCGATAAAGTTGGTTACACTTAAACGCTCCACGTGATTAAATTTCAATGCCATTGAACGGCGTTAAAGTTGGCGTTAATGTTCCTTGAAGGCTTTTATATTTGTTAAAAATGGTTCTATAAAAACCCATTAGGTTTTCCTTCGCCTTTCTAATTCTTCGACAGTTGTATTAAAAGATAATAATTGAATAATTCGTCGCAAAGCATCATTTTGCGTGTAAAATTCTTAAAACTTTTGAGTCTTGGATCCCACAAACATGGCTCTGTTTGCAGAATCTTAAAAAACCTAATAACTTTTTATTATTTCGCTCCATTATAGCCATACGTGTGACCTTGATGAGCTCATCGCGCACAGTGAGACAAACGTAGTGTGGCTGCTTCAGCGCGTTATTTCGTGCGTTAATCTCTTTGATGTACCACTACTTGAGTTATCGCCAAACGGCAAACGGCATTGTTAATGTCATTGTCAATTTAACGCGTTAAGTCGTGGCCACACCTCGTTTCTCGTTAGTGTGGCGCCAGCATAAGATTGTAAAAAATGATAAAATAAACAAGCTCCGTGGCGCAGAGGCTTAGCGATGAGTTGCTGCGCTGTGCGCCGCGGGTTCGAATCCCGCACGCAACAAGTATTTGTATGGTCTACAAATAATTGTTCCGGGTCTAAATGTTTTCCTTGTGCAATTTATGTTTGTAAGCTGCCTCCACGATACAGGAGAAAATCCCAGACTGGGGGTAATGTTTTTTTTAAAGAAAAAAGTCTAGAACTAATAAAATAATTATTTGATTTGTTTGATGATCTAATATGTTGAGTTTTATAATATAATTTTTTCGTATTGTATTAAGTTACATAACACATATAGGTACACTATATTTAGTTTATTTTTTTTTAATTTTTCTTGTGTTTTCTCCACCTTTGGTGTCAAAAAAAATGTTTCAAAAACACGATGGTTCTACGTAGCATCACTAAAGTCCTTCACCCATCTTCTGAGTCAATCATAAGGAAGGTGACGTTATCACAGTCACCTTAGTCTTCATCATCCGTCAAACGAAATTCTCCAAATATATAAAATAACTAACTTGCCAGGTAGACGTTGTTCTATGCTTTTCGACGACAATTTGTCATGTCCAATTAAAAATTCTTAAATTCGCACAAAAAAAATTGTGGACAAAAAACTATCTTACCTCTCAAGTTGGAACAAACCGCACACGGTGTGCAATTTTGATTAAAATCGGTTAAGTAGCTCAGGAGTTTATCGCGGGCAAACAACGTGACAAGTAATTTATACATATATATATATATATATATATATATATATATATATATATATATATATATAACATAAAAAATCGAAATAGGGTGTGCTTACCAGTAATTAAAACTAACTGAAGCCAGCGGATTACGGCGCGCCCGGAAAACTCCGTGTGTGCCATCAGTTAAAAATTTCAACTTAAGATTTCGCACTCACGATCAGTTTTTAGATTTACGTCAGTTCGACTGAGCAGTTTCAACTGACAGTGCGACGAAATAAATCCGTGGGTTGTCGTCATTTGAAAATTTCAACATAAGATTCCACACTCTCGGTCAGTTTTTGGATGTACGTCAGTTCAACTGACCATTTTAACTGACCGTGTGTGGCGTCCATTATAGTGGTCACACGCGGTCAGTTAAACTGATTATTCCAACTGATCAGTTCGAACTAAAACTGTTGAAATTTTTTAAAATATCGGATTTTCGATATATCCATAAATAAACCTATATGTAAAACTCTGATATTAATATATTTACAGTGATCGATATATCGGATATCCACTATTTTAAAAAATATCAACAGTTTTAGTTTAAACTGATCAGTTGGAATGATCAGTTGAACTGACCGAGTATGGGGTCCATTAGAGATACGGGGAAATCATAATTCGTACAGGTCCAAGTACAAAGTACCAGAATACCAAGAATTTGTATTTTCATAAATGTTGACTCCATTGGGGATTCGGTCCTGGATTATTTTGACTGTGTATGCAGTAAAAAATATAACATTAACAGATATGAATACAGCAAGGTTGGTTTATTTCAGCCATTTCCTAAGTGAGCAACGGATATTGAAAATATATTTATTTATATAATAACCAGTTTTCCCCCCGCGACATCGCCCTCGTAAAATTTATGTATTTTTAATGGTTTTTGATTTTTTGCGCGGAATCCTAATTTGTTTTTTAAATATAAGCAGCGTTAGTTATCTACCACCATAACATCAGTTAACTGCCAGTGAAACTCCAATCAAAAGTTGCGACCCGGTAAATAAATTTTTTTTTCATTTGTTTTTCTTATACTAAGCACCGTATATGCTTTCATATGCATTTATTAAAAAGCTGTTATTATGAAATTACAAATAGACACTTCGTTTTCGTTCGCGTTTTCGTCTGCGTTGAATTTTTTGCGATTGGATTTCATGGGTTTTAATTTTTTTTGCGTAGAATCATAATCCTTTTTCTAAAATAAAAGTAGTCTAAGTAACTTTTTATAATATTGGCTATTTGTCAGTGAAAGTCCAGTCAAAATCTGTCCAGCCATTTCAAAGATTAGCCAAACAAACAAAAATTTTAAAAATTTGTTTTTGTCATAAGCAGTGTAAGTATACATAATATATACCTTCATGTGCAATTATTAAAAATCGGTTATTTTTAACATTACAAACGTACACTTCAATTTTATTTATTTGTATATGTCGCAGGTTTTTGGTAAAATATGTTTTTTATCAAATAACTAGGCTTTTGATCAAGAAAAGGAAGTAGAGAAAATCACTACTTTTTTCGACCGGGTGTAACGTTTGCGGTAAGAACGTAATTAACTACGTGTGCCACTAGCGGATTCGGATGGGTTTCGGAACTTTCGAAGTAGCACTGAAAGAGCTCCTTAAAGTATTCCGAGATTGTGTTCAGGCTGTGTGTATATCTAAATTCCGTAAATCGAGATTGTGAAGAGTTTTGTAAGTGTCATTGAAGGTTAGGAAGGTTAGGTTACTTGGGTAAGATATGAAGTATTCCTCTGTCTGGATTTTTCGTGCATTTCCTTTAGTTGACGTTCATTTAACAGTGGATAATAAAATGGTATTACGAAATGTCATAAATTATTAAATTGTTAGTAAATACAACACTAACGGGATCTCTAGGGCCACATAACTTTCTAAATTCTTTGACAACGCAACAGTTCTTATCCGTACATTTCACTTCTAGGGCTATACATTTTCCTTCAGCTAAATGGATACACATTGCCTGCAACAAAACATAAATAATATAAGACGAACAATATTAGAAACTTTCTTAATATTATTACTTTAAGATACATACCATTTATAATCTCTCTCTTACAAGTTTTACTATAGTTTTATACACCACAAAAAAGTTGGCTTGAAAGTATAACCGCTCAGATAAATGCATAAGTGCACTAAATTGCTCACTAATTGCTCAATTCAAATCCGCATTTGCTCATACTATTAATGAATTATTTTATTAGTTATTAATAATTAAAAATACAAAATATTTTTATCTATTATACTTAAAACCAATGATTTTTTCTAAAAATTAATAAATACCATTAATTGCTCAAGAAATGCTTAATTCAAATCCGTATTTGATCACACTATTAATTAATTATTTAATTAGCAATTATTAATTAAAAATACAATTTTTTCCCTTAACCTATCAGAATATTGAATAAGTGCACAAAATTGCTCTCTAATTGCTCACTTCAAATCCGCAATTGCTCACACTATTTATCAATTATTTTAATGGTTATTAATAATTAAAGCATATCATGCGTATGTCGCTGCTGTATTAAGATATGGTCTCATATTATGGGGAAACTCGACTGATGTAAACCGTGCTTTTATAGCGCAAAAACGCTGTATACGAGCAATTTGTGGCGTCGGACCACCCGTTTCTTGTAAACCATTATTTAAAGACTTGGGTGTTCTTACGCTACCATCCATGTACATTTTTGAAATTCCAATATTCGTAAAAAAGTATCCTCAGTTTTTTACTAGATTAAAGGATACAGTAACATATAGTACCAGATACCCAGATAAAATTATTTTACCTTCATTAAAAACTAGCCTGTATTCAAAAAATTGCTATGTGATGGCTATTCAAGTGTTTAATAAAATCCCAAATGAAATAAGGCAATTAGATTATAATCAATTTAGACGTAATTTATTAAAGTGGCTTTTAGAAAAACAGTTTTATTCGGTAAATGAACTGCTAAAAATAAAAGAACGTTTCTATTGACTGTAAAATGCTGTTTCTTATCTGATTGTGTTTTAAACGATTAATATTAAGATTGTAAAGTGATGCATGTTTAATTTTACTTAAATTTTTGTATATTCTAACCATAAGTTAATTAGTAAATAAGTTTTCATATACCAAAATTGGTGAAATATGTGAATCATTATTATTTTTATAAGAACATCTTTGTACCATATTTCTTGTGAATAAATTTATTTATTTGTTTATTATTTATTTATAAAAATACTAAACTGTTTAAGGCAATTAAAACCAAAGAACTTTTCTAAAAATGAATAAGTACACTTAATTGGGCACAAAATGCCTAATTAAAATCTTCAATTGCTCACACTATTTATTAATTATTTAATTAGTAATTAATAATTAAAAGTACAATTTTTTTCCATTGCCGCCCAGATTAGTTAATAAGTGCAAATAGTTATTAATAATTAAAAATACAAAATTATTATTGCCCTAAAACCAAAGAACTACTTTAAAAATTAATAAGTACACTTAATTGGTCACAAAATGCCTAATTAAAATCCTCAATTGTTCACACTATTAATTATTTAATTAATAATTAAAAGTACAATTTTTTCCCATTGCCGCCCAGATATAAGGAATAAGTGCACAAAATTGCAGCTTACGAACATCAGGCAAAAATAATTTTTGTACATTAAACTATTAATAACTAATCCAATTAATTAATTAATAAATATTTTGTATTTTTAATTATTAATAACTAATAAAATAATTCATTAATAGTGTGAGCAAATGCGGATTTGAATTGAGCAATTAGTGAGCAATTTAGTGCACTTATTTATTTATCTGAGTAGTTATACTTCCAAGCCAACTTCTTTGTGGTATTTTATACGTGGTAAAGCCATGCTGCAGTTATATTAGTAGTATAGTTGTAGCACGAACAGGTCGGCTCGACCGGGAAGGACCACGCTCTCACAGAATACCGGCGTCAAATAGTAGTTTAATGCTGCTGTGTTTCGTATGGTGAGTGTAGAGAACCGGCGATTCTTTTTACTGGGAACGAGGCATTCCATCTTAGTCCTCACGGGTGACAACGCATCTGCATTTTGATTCGTAATCGAGGAAAGATGTAGATGTCTATGGGCCACAGCGACCACTTACCATCAGGTGGACTGTGTGCTCGTTTGTCACCTTATCCTATAAAAAAATAAGTCTGCTGCTAAATCTAGCCCAGGACCTGGCCTTCCAAAAACTGTCACTAAACATGGTCCTGAGCTCTAATTGCCAACTTTATCTAATGGTACCTAGAATACCTTTATTCAAGGTACCATTAGATGAAGTTACAGAAGTACAATTTCAGATCGAACCTGCATTCTCTCTACATCTGGTGGTGATCGCCCTAAAAGGGATCGCTCTAGTACGAGACTGCTACTAACTTATTGCTTAGGTACATATTATATTATCTATAACATCTCACTATATCGTTTCTATTGAGATATGTAGTAAAGGTAAAGGATACAATACTTAGTAAAGCTATTTTCATACCTCATACTCCGCTAAAACCCCTTTGTACATTTCGTAAAACTCTTCTGCATTTGCAACATTTACAGAGAACATTGCCATAGCCGAAATAAAGAATTTTCCAGATGTTGATATTTGTTCAAGGATGGAGCCAACGTTACCATCAATAATGGCGTGAGGTTTTATAATACAGCATGTGCAATCCTTTAAAGTTGCCCGGAAAGAAATCCTGGGTATACCGTTTTCATAACCGAAAAATAAATCTAACATCTACAAAAAAAAACACAAGCATTAAAGATACCACGCAATCATTTCGTATCTTAGACTTACATGTAGCGTTATGTCACAGCCTAATGGTCGCCACACACGGTCAATTAAACTGATCATTCCAACTGATTTTATTTGTTTAAACGTCAAATAAAATAAAATCAGTCTTTTATTACTTCCAGCCCTGATAATCCTAGCAATATATTATTTATGTCGGCTTTTCCGACAATATCAAGCGCAATGACTGACTGTATGTTCTTCTTATGAACGACACACACGGTCAGTTCAACTGATCATTCTAACTGATCAGTTCAAACTAGGACTGTTGATATTTTTAAAATATATTTTCGATATATCGATAGTTGTAAATATATCAATATCGTAGTTTTATATATAGATAAGTTTATTTACCGATATATCAAAAATCCGATATTTTAAAAAATACCAACAATCCTAGTTTGAACTGATCAGTTAGAATGATCAGTTGAACTGACCGTGTGTGTCGTTCATAAGAAGAACATACAATCAGTCATCGGGTTTGATATTGTCGGAAAAGCCGACATAAATAATAAATTGCTAGGATTATCGGGGCGGGAAGTAATAAAAGACTGATTTTATTTTATTTCACGTTTAAACAAATAAAATAAAATCAGGACAAATAAAAATTACCAAATGACATGCATGATTGCCCTGTCTTGCCTTCGATGACCGACTGTTAGTAGTAGTTAAGACTGTGATTATGTTGCGCTTGAAACTACAAACTCTGCTAAATCTAGATTTGTTGAGCGTACAGAGAATTTTTATAATTAAAACAATTATAAAAAAGTTTCCCAATAATTAACTAAGATGCGGCTACGAGGCCGTAGGTAAGCCTTGAGCAAAATGCCGCAGTATTTTTTTTAATTGGGAAAAAGTACTTCCAAAATATTCGAATTGATGAAAACCGTGGTTAGTAATGATTGTTTAAGCTGATGTAAGGTTTTCAAGTGGAATGCACAGGTCAAGAACGGTTGACAATCGCTGACATAGATATTATATAGCTAGGTCGCTGAAAGTCGTTCCGTGAGAGCGGTGCTCTTCAATTTCGACTACCGATGAGAATATAAAACGTGTATCAATATCATGCTGTCTCGTAATCAGCGAATTACGTTGAAATGTTGTTAAAGGAAATATACCTACATTACTATAGAAAGCGTTCACCACATTTTACACGATTATCTCGGGGGAAAAAATGTGTTAGTTCCGCGCTTTTAACGGAAGAGCAGAAAGAGTGCAGTGTAGTAATTTTATTAAAAGTGCAGGCACATATGAAATGTTTTTAAATAAAATTGTAACCGGTGAAGAATCATGATTTTCTTAATATGATCCATTGAACAAACGCCAAACCGCGATAAGTGGCGAGGCGAAGTAAAAAAAGAGTTTGTGCCCCCGGGCAAAATAGTGAACGCAGCATTCGACAAAGCTGTCATAATCAACTTCTAAAGAGGATTCGATGCGAGAGATCGGAATTGTAATTGTACTGTCGGTTATTGAGATATTTTTGTCTAGTCCATTTCTTGATACTCTGCACAATTTTTGGCCCAAAAATACTTAGTACCACGTTTTACCGTCCACCCTATTCGCCAAATCTGACTCCGGAACAGTTTTTTAATCTTTTAATAAGAAATCGCAGTAAAACTTAACGTGGTATTATTCGATTCAAACTTAATGGCGGTTCGGAAGTTAGCTGCGAGTACAAGTGCGCGCAGGTACAGTCAAGTTGACAAAAATTTAGGCTCAATTTAATTATTTTAATAACTGAAAGTTTTGTGTTTTAAGTTCTGTACATATAGTACATAAATGTCAGTTAGCAAGTATGAGGAGGGTTCAAGGAAAAAAATACAGATGAATTAAGAACCTCATCCTTTTTTGAAGTCGGTTAAAAATAAAACAGATTTTGTAAACAATATATACAGTTTTTATTTTCATTTTAAGTTAAGGGCTGTATCCCTTCCATAAAAACGTCTTTGCTTGTGGAAGGAGCTTCCATGGAAACATCACTTCCTTAGTCTTCGCTGGAATCTGATTCCTCCCAGACTCGGTATCTGATTCATCGTCGCTGACATGGATTATAAATTCGTCCGTCAATCTATCAACGACAACGTCACTTTTTTTGTACTCTTCCTCCATCTTGATCATTTTTCGGCACAATGAATTCCCCCCATTCATTTTCTCCCATTTCGTTAACTTTTTGCTGGACCAATTCCATGACTGAATTTACGTTCCAGTTAACGTTTTTTTTTGCGACGTATTATTTTATTGCTGCCCATGCCATCTCGATGGGGTTTAAATCGGGGTGGTAAGGGGGGAAGGCGTAAAACTAAGTGGTTATTCTTCGCAATTAACTTGTATAGTTGTGGATTCAGCATTATTTCCTCAAATTCAATATTTTTTTCACGAAGCCATGATTGCATGTCTGCTTTTCTTGAGTTTGAGATAGGTGCAGGATCTTCTTGTTTGTTGTGATAAGAAGCATTATCTACAACAACGACTGAATTTGCTGCCAAATTTGGAACGAATTGATTCTTGATCCATTTTTCATAATTTTCATAATTCATGTTATCATGATAGTCGCCGGTTTTTGTACCCGCTTTAAACATTAAAAGTGCGTTGCGTACAAAACCGGCTTCAGAACCCGCGTGCACTATTACGATTCTTTGACCATTCGAAATGTTCTTTTTAACTCCCATTTTGTGACACATCTCCCCAAGCCTTTGACATGCTGTGGGAAGAATCGACATAAGACTCGTCGGTATATATAATGGGTCTGCCTTCCGAGCCATATTTTGTAATACTATGCAGATATTCAATGCGCTGTAAACGAATATTAGACTGCTCTATTAATACTTTTCTCTCATTTTCGGTGTTCTTCCATTGAAACCCTAATTGTTTCAATATTCGGCCTAAGCTGTTTACAGAACCGTTGAAATTTATGTCGTCTTTTAATTTTCTTTGTAATTGTTTAAGTGTTGGCAACTCTTTTTCAGTCACGTGAAAGTTGTGCACGCACCTTTTGATGACACCTTGGTCGAAGCTGTCAATATTCGTCACTCTCTTGACTCTCTCTTTTTTTGCCAGGAATACGAAAGACGGCTACCATCTCCGACTCATTTGCTGTTGCAGCTATTCTTTGTACAGTCCTTAGTGAGACGCCTGTAGCTGCTGCGGCTCGTTTTTGAACGAGCTTCAGAGGAATTTGGACGCCGTCTTCACTCTCCTTTTTCATAAATTGCACGACATTATACACCATTTTTCTGGCTTGCCTGCGTAAAACGTTGCGTCGTCCGCGAGGCATATTTAAACAAAATAATAAAAGTACTTTCCCACAACCGACAACAGTCTAAAACTTAATGTGTGTAACACACAGATGAAAACAAAACAGTCAATAACAATAAAAACTTAACGAAACAAAAACAAACAAAAAAAACGTAACAAAACAATTAACAAACAGTAACAAATTATGGGCTCAACTGTACGTAAGCAGGAGTGTACGTAACTCAAACCATTGAGTTATACAACACTAGAGGAGCAAACCACATTACCGCGCGTCGAAAAAAGTGTAACCACTATCCAAACGCGACGACGTAGCTTTGAAACTAATAACAATTTTAAGTAAACATATATCTATCTCACTTACACAAGTTGCGAAAACAATAACGTCGTCGTAAGATTAGATAAAGATAGACACACAAACATGCAATGGCGGGTTGGTGTGGCTTACTATATGAAATTTTACCTAAAATACGCAATAAAATTTTTTTTAAGCTGCAGTTAATTGTTTTTATATCAAAAAAAGTATATTTTATTTTAAAATCTTTATTACGTCCCCTTAGAAAAAAGGGATACAAAGCTTATCAGATGAATAGAAGTAAACATAATGATGAAATAAAACGTATTATTATGGTACTAATAAATCAAACAATATAAAATAGGGATCTAATAAAATATAATTAATATAAAATTTATATGAAATTATAAATAATATAAAATTATTAATATAAAATAGGTAATAAAATATATTTAATAGATAATTCATGAATAAACTAAAATAAGAATAATTAATTATTTTGTATGAAAGTTAAAACGTAGTTTTTATTATAATTTACAAAATATTTAAAATCAGAGGTAACAAATTAACTTACTCCATTAATTATATAGTCTCCCATTAATGTAGAATAATCACAAATCCGGAAAAGTGGCAACATTGGACCTAAATGGCAATATCCGATAAATATCTTTAATTTATTTTTATTATTATCCCGACGTTTCGGGTGCTTTACAGCGCCCATGGTCACGGGGGGGGGGACTGAGATGTTTGACGTCCCAATGTCATAGTTAGTCCGGCTACCTTCAGTTTTTTAATATTAATTTTTGGTCCGATTTACGCAAAACGAGCTTATAGTATCATGAAGTCTTGCAGTGGTATGCTTGGGTTTGGGTTTAATTTTGTTGATTATAGGATCCCAAGCAGATGGTAGCACCCAACCATCTTCTCTATTGAAAATTGGATGTTTTTTTAATTTCAATAGCCTCGCGTATCATCCTTGGTAGGAATCGGTGTTCTTTTGCGAGAATTTGTGGTTTATCAAATCTAATGTAATGGTGGGGACGATCTTGAACATGTTCGCAGACTGCAGACTTCAGTCTGCAGTCTGCGAACATGTTCAAGATCGTCCCCACCATTACATTAGATTTGATAAGCCACAAATTCTCGCAAAAGAACACCGATTCCTACCAAGGATGATACGCGAGGCTATTGAAATTAAAAAACATCCAATTTTCAATAGAGAAGATGGTTGGGTGCTACCATCTGCTTGGGATCCTATAATCAACAAAATTAAACCCAAACCCAAGCATACCACTGCAAGACTTCATGATACTATAAGCTCGTTTTGCGTAAATCGGACCAAAAATTAATATTAAAAAACTGAAGGTAGCCGGACTAACTATGACATTGGGACGTCAAACATCTCAGTCCCCCCCGTGACCATGGGCGCTGTAAAGCACCCGAAACGTCGGGATAATAATAAAAATAAATTAAAGATATTAAACGCGATAAAATCCGTAAATAATAGTTTTATTCAATGTGTAGTGTTCGCGTAAATTTAAGAAATCATAATATCCGATAATTTTATTTAATTATTTGAGGTTTTTTACGTTTATATGAAAACAAGAACTAAAAATTATGTGTTGAAAGTGATGCCGCTTGATTTATTACGTTTTTGTGACCTTGAATAGCATTCTTTCACTACGCATTTACCCATTTTTGTCGCGGCTCAACTCTGTCGGTGTCACATTGAACAATGAACTCACGTTAGCTAGGCATATGGCTGTGGCCATATGTGCAGTGGCAACGCTTTGGCGCGGTTATTACTGATCTAGTGTTATATAAATCAATGACTCAAACACTAAAAGCAAACGCATCGCGTGAGTGCGTATGAGACAGAGGGCGCGCGGCAGCGCGCGCAGGGATGTGCCCCGCCACCACGTCCCTCTACATCCCGCTGATACCCAAAAATTGTGTTCTGCGCATCGGAACGTACGATGTTCCGAGCCGCCATTAAGTTTGAACAAATGTGTAAAACCACAATTTCATGTTATAACATAGATAAAAGAGTCGCAGCTATACAATTTTTTTTTTTGTAAACTTTTTTCCGGATATTGAGTGTAGAGGTAAGGAGTACAGACTCTCTATAAAAATGTGTCCGTAAAAAGGCGCTAAATAAGAATAGCGCCGCTGTAGCTACAGTCTTGATTTTAAAGAACTTTTTTATACTTTTTATATTGCACAGACTTTCATCATAATTGTTTTTACAATTATTATTTTATTGCTTTCAAATTTTTTATTTTTAAAATCACTCAACGTATTTTACGGCGATTTATTATATCCTATAACTACTCGAGCGCTGTTGTGGAGAGTTTTTGAACTGTTATTTACTGCTCACGTATGGACATATTTTCAACTATTCTCCTATGGCAGAGTGTCCTCCTTACCTCTATACTCCATGCTCCCGTAACTTTTAAATGATGTATGTTTATGATCAGAATTAGACAGCTAAACAAGCTTAACCTTAATAAATATTATAATCTCTACGACACCATCATGTTTTGTCCCTGCAGTCCCTTGCTAACTCTTCTGGTTTTTCAGAAGCTTGTGTTTCACAGATATCCTAAATTAACTAATATATGAAAGTTAACCTCATCTTTTTGTAAATTTGACGTGGCAGATCTTTTTTGCAGAAAAAAAAACCGAATAATTCCGCATTTTGTTTGACGTCGATTCAGCCGCGCAACAAGATTTAGTCTAGTGAGCAGTGTGGGCTGCAACTAGGTATGAGCATTATAACGTATAGACAGCTATAAATTATGAAAACGTCTATTTACCTTACAACGTATAGATATTTATACATAACACTCATAACTATTTAATTTTTGTAACGATTCGCAACGCAACGCACAGAGTTATACATATAACACTCATCAACTGTCTTTTTCTTGTAACGATCCGCAACGCATATAGTACCTTTGAACCACAACGCTACAATCAGCTACAACATTGGGTTGGCTTGCAACGGGCCGGATCGTGATATTATAACATCACGCACTCACTGCCGTACATAAATAAATGTTATGCCGTAATGATGAGAACGAAACTGTAGCGGGCCCCATGTTGAAACGCGTAGGTGAGCGAAGCGAAGTTCAATTTCTCTTCAAAATCTTTTTCAAAATGGCAATGTGTTTCTAACAAACTACTTTAAACCTTGTGCGTTTCTTATTAATTTCTACACAGTAATACGGTTTTTGACATGTATAGAGAAATAATACTTGTTCCCTAAATCGTAAGGATTAAACTGCATTAATAGCCTTGACCTTGTTATGACGAAATATTATTACTGACTATGTGTCCTTCAGCTTTTGAAGCTAGCGATGGGTTGTGATGTGTTTAATAAATAACGTAATGTTCAAAATTCAAAATTGGAACTTGAGAAGGAGAATTGAAAATCTTAATTGTGTCTCTCTGAGGAAGTGCAATAATCAATTTTGGATGGAATATTATTACTTTATTTCAAAACTTTGCTTGATTTGTTAATTCATAGTATTTAATATTGTTACGAGATTAGGGTTCGTGACAATAAAAACTGCCGATTAGATTACCAAAATCAACACTTTAATTACCGAACACCCATTAAAACTTAAAAGACACTAATAATTAATCACTCCGATTCACTTTATTTCGCTCCGAAGCTTCGCTTGTATTGCCAGATTCAATACTACCCCGGTGGCGGGCTTTAACGCCTTTTTCACCGATTCATACAGAATAGTCCTGCAAATACCGGCCCCTGATAGACCAGGTGCAGAAAGTTCGAGTGTGGGGCTTTCCAGAAAGCTTAGTTTTTCTATTCGATACTAGATGGCGCTGTTGCTTGAAAGTTCAGTCATGGCATTTTCTGGAAAGCTCTCCTCGCTCTGCTCCACGAAATTAGATGGCGTTAGTACCAGGTACCAGATATCAACTTAGGCGCGCAACAATATTAATTAATTTGTTAATAATAGTGTTATTAAAAGAAATACTTATCAAAAACGAACAAAAAGCTTTGTAAATACTTAGTATATATAGTTATGATATTAAATATTAAAACTCGAAATCTGATTTAGATACGATTCTCAGAAAACGCGGTACGGCCCAGGCCTACGTTACATGGAAAATAGACAGTTATGAATATAGATAGTTATGATAACGTTATCGGTTGCACCATAACGATAACGTTACGTTATTTATAAAACACATAACGACCATGGCTAGCTGCAACTAATTTTATTGTACGCATAGGGATGCGGGGACTTATACTTTGATATAGGGAAACGTCTGTGCTGTGTAGCTTTCTACATATTTATTTATCTATGCGCCTGTGTATGGCTACTCATCTCCGATCCGCCGGTGGCCAGGGTTGCTCTATGCAAAAAAACCCTAAATAGAAAAATATACCTATCGATTTCTTTAATAATTATAAATCTTTAGTATTTCTATAAAATTTTACAATTTTTACGAATAAATAACGTCATTAATATCAGTTGCGTTATCTGTAGCGTACCTAATACCTATACTTGACTTTTATAAACAGTAACTAAAGATACTGATATATAGTTTTAAAATCTAATCCGATTTACCAGAAAAAGCAATAGGACTCATCTCAATAACGGGCCGATAAAAAATAGTTGTAATTTATACATATAAATAAAAATGAAGTGTCTATCTGTAATATTGAAATAACTGGTTTCTATTAAACTCAGGAGGCTATTTTCATGCTAATAAGTCTCAAATAAATATTTTTAAAATTTTGGTCTGTCTGTCCGGGCTAATCTTCGGAATGGCCGAACATTGTAATGAACGAACAGATTTTAAAAAATGCTAGATAATGACACATTAATAAAATCTATCCAGGCGAAGCCGGAACGGGTCGCAAGTGGTACCTATAACTATAATATTTATCATAATAATAAATCAGTTAAGTTCGATGAATAGGTACATACTCGGTTTGCATCTTCCAAGGTTTCACAACCATGTGCAATATTTTTCAGTTTATTTTCACCGTACATGTGTCTCAATGTACCCGGGGCAGCATCAACGGGATCAGTAGCTCCTAAACATTGACGCCATTTTTTAACAGAATCCGGTGCGACTAATTCTAAGCCTATCACTTCCCCCGACGTCACATAGTCTATAATAATACTGAAAAAAATTATGTTACGAACATACTATAAGTAATGAAATTATATTAGCATTAAGTACTGTGTTTTGTTACAATTATCCAAAGTGCACATCGCATCTGATTGCTGCTTCGTGGTTCCTGAGTTCAAATACAAGGCAAGTTCAAATACTGGGTCAGTATTGTTTAAAAATCAACCATTTGTTTTCCGATCTGGTACTTTTATTTATTACCTTTTAATAGGTTCCGAATATTCAAAATCTATTTCACTAATGTTGAAGTAAAGGATGAGTGAGTGCATTTGCATTAATACTTAGGTACTTGGCGCTATATGCTATAATCTATATTATAGCGCCAATAAATTATATTATGCTGCTTTATATTACGACAATTCTGGCGTGTATTTGTGCAACTAATTACAACGTGTAATGGTATTTAAACAGTAATATTGTTGTGCGCCCTGGTTCAAGCCATAATTAATGCCACTAGCGCCATCTAGTGTCGGGTAGCAGAGCGAGGAGAGCTTTCTAGAAAGTTCCATGCTAGAACTTTCCCACTAGCGCCATCTAGTATCGAGTGGCGGAACTGGGAGAGAACTTTCTACACCTAGTCGATCGGGACCGGTATGTGCTCGAGCATTCTGGATGTTTCAGTAGAAAAGGTCCTATATAAAAGCGTTAGCACCGCGACTGGGGCAGTATTGAATTGGCGATACGAGCGAAGACTTAGGAGCGAAACTAGGTGTAAAGTGTGATTAATTGTTAGTGTGTTTTAAGTTTTCATTGGTGTTCGGTCATTAAAGTGTAAATTTTGGTAATTCAATCGGCAGTTTTTATTGTCACGAACCCTAAGCTCGTAACAATTGGTGTCAGAAGTGGGATAAAATAGTGCCGATTTTACCTAAGGACAATACGGAGGGTGTCCGTACCCGAAGTCAACGCCAGCAGGAGACGAACCAGAGACGATTTGGTGGTGCAACGCCGCAGAAGTAGGTGGACCAGCCGCCGACCACGAAGGCCGGCCCGTCAGTAGCTCCTACGTCTACAGCACCTGACTTAGGTGCTTTGATGGTGATGCTGCAAGAGCAAGCTAGCCGACAGGAGGAACAGGCCCGCCGACAGGATGGTGTTCCACAAGGCTGCGTGATGTCACCGACGCTGTTTCTCTGCTTATCAATGATACGTTGCAAACCGGCAACATTAATTGCTATGCATATGGCAACACTGGTGATGTTCTGTAGACCGGCCGTGCCAATATTTCTCGGGAAAACGTCTCCGAGTATCGGGATGAATTTGTGTCTGAAGTAGAGTCTTGGCTGAACAAAGTCCCGGATTGGGGGCGACTAAATCTAGTCCAGTTTAACCCTCAGAAGACACAGGTTTGCGCGTCAACCGCTAAAAAGAACCCCTTTGTCGTATCTCCTCAGTTTCAAGGCACTTTCCTTGTTCCTTGTTGCCAGCCAGTATCGGAATCCTCGGCGTCGATATATCGAGTGATATGCAGTTTTGTGGTCACTTGGAAGAGAAGGCCAAATTGGCCTCTAAAAAGCTTGGCGTGCTCAGCAGAGCGGGACAGTGTTTCATGCCAGCACACCGCCTGCAACTTTACAGGATGCAGGTTCGGCCGCACATGGAATACTGTTCTCCTCAAAAATAAAAAAATTTTTAATTTTATTGTCCGCTATCTGGGCTGGGGCTCACCAGTGCCAGCTCCTTCCACTTGACAGCATCCAGCGCAGAGCGGCTAGAATCGTCGACGACCGAGTGCTTTCCGATTGGCTCGATTCACTGGCGCTGCGAAGAGATGTTGCATCTCTTTGCGTATTTTATCGCATCTATCACGGGGAGTGCTCTGAGGAATTGTTCGGATTAATCCCAGCTGATAAATTTTATGAACGCACTATGCGGCAAACCTTCCGATACCATCCACACCATCTGGATGCTTGGCGGTCCACCACTGTATGTTTCACAAGGAGTTTTCTTCCGCGTACGACCACTCTGTGGAATATTTTTCCGGACCGATACGACCTGGGGACCTTCAAGAAAAGAGCTTACTCCTTTCTAAAGGGTCGGCAACGCACCTGCAATTCCCATGGTGTTGCGGGATGTTCATGGGTGGCGGTATCACTTTTAACATCAGGTGAACCGTATGCTCGTTTGCCCCTCTTCTATAAAAAAAAACGCCATTTGTACTAACGACCAGTGATGAACTCATACCGTTAAAACAAAGCATGTCGGACTCTTTCAAGTTCCAACACTCAGAAAGAGATGGCCTGTACTCAGTCATGATACTTTTTGGAGATTGTTGTTAATCTTAAACCAGCGATATCTTTTGGTTGTATAAACTAATCTTCGTTGTTGTTGAAACAGGCCAATAAGAACGTCAAACTTTTTCTTAAGAGGTAGACGGGCTGCATTTTTTCCATACAAATGTATTCCCCTATTTTCTTTCTGGATAATGCCTCTAGAGTAATCGTTTTTGTTTATAAAAATCTGGATCTATTGAAGTCATGCCCTTGTCATTTACTTTTTTCAAAAAATTATTACGAAAATAAATATGACTTTCCAAAAACCTAAAAAAATGCCCCATTTTTACCTCCGTAATCACACGACTACCAAAGAAATTTGAAAAGTTTTTAAGATAAAAGCAAATGATAGAAGCTTAAATCTATTCTTCCTTTAAATTTTGATACCAAAAATAATTTATTTGGCTTAGTTTTCGAGGAGAAAACAGGGGAATACGAAACGACGGTCGGTCATGGTTTTTGTAAGTAAAATGGTTTTGAGCTGCAGTTGTCCCTATCGCACTCTTCGGGTGGAGACCAGAGGTGAAGGACGGCAATAGTTTCTTCAAATACCTATTTTTCAATTCCCGCGCAGACCATCTACCCTCTCAACACATAATATTATCCGGCGTTCGTCCAGCATTAGCGTAAACGTAACTAGATTTTTGAAAAGATCTTTATAACTACGGATACAAACGGCGTATTTATTACGAATACTTACGGCATCATGTTGCTACCGCTGATATGCTTATAAAGTTCTAAAGCAAAATCTTTGCTTATTTTACCATTCCTCATACGAACGATACGAAAACCTTTCTTCATGATAAATGTTATAATTTTTCCATGTTCACTAGGAGGTACGGGCTTTATCATAGCAAATGTGCTGTAAAGGTATCACGTTAGTATCACAGTAATAATGGCTTTAAATTAATATATTATGCCATTTGTATTTACCTCTGAACGTTTTTAAATAAAATACCCCTGGTAGCTGGCGCGCAATCCACAATATGCAATAACTTACAGAAAATATTCACAATATTTCCAATCTGAAGCATTTCTAGTTTCAAAGGAGGAAGATGGACGCGTCTCAGTAAATTTTTGCCTTTCTTTGAATCAATTAATTGTACTGAATTGTCAAAAGGAAAGAAGTTTAAAATTAATTCTTTTACTTTATCTGCTTCCTCATCGTAGATTTCGCACAAAAATGTGTATTTATCGAAGTAATCGTAAGTCTGAAAGCGGGCAAATAATTTGTAAACATTTGTATAACTCATTTATTTGTGTGTAATTCCAACAATAAGTTATAATACGCTATTTTAGTACGTTTATTGCTACGAAGCAAATGTATAAAAATAATATAATAATTCAATTTCAAGTTTTTCTTTAGTCCAAAGAAGCTCAAGATTTGGTTGTGCTTATCAAGAAAGTCGAACCTAGGAATGGTCGACAAAAAGCTTCTCATATACTATGACTGTTATATATATAATAATATATATATATATATATATATATATATATATATATATATATATATATATATCCGTGAGGATGCTCAGGACAAACCACCTCAGCAACGTGTGGAAGGACAGCTTACAACATGCACAGCAGGAAGATCCGGACATCAAGCCGATTCTGGAATGGATGAAGGCCCGTGCTACCAAGCCCCTAGTGGAGCGACGTCGTCCTGTGCCGTAAATGAGAAAATGGTCGAGGAGACAGCTATCGTTTGCTAAAGCTAAAGTGCCGGATGTTCTACAGCTGTACCATAATGGTTGTTCAGGAGTCCATCTGGGAGTTAAACGAACTCTACTGAAGATCCAAAAACAGTTTTACTGGGTCCATTATCGTGACGATGTCGAGGATTGGTGTCGCAAATGTACAAGTTGTGCGGCTGTGAAGGGACCTCAGACTCGTAGTAGAGGTGCATTGAAATTGTACAATTTGGTGCACCATGGGAGAGGACAGGCTTGAAGTTGCGGAGCCGGTTCTGAAATGTACAAGAGGTACTCCTAAGATCGTCCATGTGAATCGACGGGCGCGTTACTATGGGGTCGATAATGCTCGGCACGAACATGTCTTAGAAGGGGGCAGTGTTGCGTGCCTAAGTTAATGTCTGGTACCTGGCACTAGCGCCATCTAGTTTTGGGGAACAGAGCGAGAAGGGCCTCCTAGAAAATATCAATCTTGAACTTTCCACCAACAGCGCCATCTAGTATCAAACAGAAGAATTAAGCTTTCTGGAAGCCCCACACTCGAACTTTCTGCGCCTGGTCGGTCGGCGCCCGTATTTGCTGGAATATTCTGTATGTTTCGGTGGAAGAGCCCTATATAAAGCCGTCGATAGCAGCGATCGGCAGTATTGAATTTGGCGATACAAGCGAAGCTTCGGAGCGAAATAAAGTGAACTAAAGTGTTATGTGTGATTAATTATTAGTGTGGTTTAAGTTTTAATTGGTGTTCTCTAATAAAAGTGTAGATTTTGGTAATTCAATCGACAGATTTTATTGTCACGAACCTTAAGCTCGTAACAATTGGTATATATCAGTCATAGTACATGAGAAGCTTTTTGTCGACCATTCCTAGGTTCTACTTTCTTGATAAGCACAACCAAAACTTGAGCTTCTTTGGACTAAAGAAAAAGTTGATTATATATAAGTAGTAAAGAAAGTAGTTTGTTTATATGTGTTCAAAATGTATCCAACATAAATCACTCTAATTAACTTTTTTTTAAACTATACTGATCTTTTATATTAGCTGCTTATTTTTATTGGTAATCTAAATCACAATCTTCAACATCATCATCCCGTAACAGACCGCTGCAGGACATGAGCCTCTCCCATTGTAGACAGAATTTGTCGTGATTTATACGTTTTTCCAGCGAATTGCCAAATGATACTGTACGACCTAAGGTCGATTTCTGATTGAAGCCGAAAGTGAAGTCAATTAATTGGCTATCGCTACAACCTTTTGCCGAAGCTTTAAAACCCTAAGAAATTTAATTCAAGATTGGCTAAAATTAATAATTAAAATAATTTTTAAAACTTTTAAATTAATTGACTGTATAATATAAAAAGATAATTTTAATAATTTCAAGGAGTGGATCTAGAACATGATAAAAATTGCGTCGCCACGTCCATCGCATTCTCATGCGTAACAGTTTGTTCAATTTCGTCGCTTCCTTGAAACCTTCTGCTTCGGTCAAAACTTAGACCCATTTTGGCCGAAAACCTTCGGTTTGGCTGAGGTCGTTTTTGTGCCCAAGATGACCGAAGCCGAAACCGAAGTTTCGGTCGGTCACTACCAATGCATTGTCAGATGATTCGCGCCTTAGAAGCTAGTCCCCATTGCTTGTCTTGGTATTTTGCATCTGACTTACACTGCTCGATGTTGATACCGCCATGTGTCAGAAAGGCTATTAGATTTAGTTTTAGTTTCAGAAAGTCTATTAGATTAGGTTTAGTTGGCATTTTCCATAGCTGGCATTTTCCATATATCTCTTACGAATTACGATACCTATTGCATAAAATAGTAGGATATTATAGTGGATTCTCTAACACCGCACACGATTTCCCATAAATAACAATGCTCAGTAGTTCTCATGCCTATTTAAAAGGAAACTATCGAAATGATTTCTATCGTATTTTTGGAACAAGTAAATAACTAAGACATATAAGTAGTAGTTTAAATCTCTTCCTTTCAATGTCTTTAAAAATTGATTTGCAAATGATAACTTACCATTATCGGTATAAAATTCGTCTTTTTGAAGCCTTATAATATAATATGTTTATTAAAATCAATTTAAATGAAGTCTGACGTTTTTAAATGTTGACAATCTTGTAATGAGTATTTATTGCTCATATATTTGAATATTCTTTGATTTATTGCCTTACAAAGTTTTGAAATGACTAAGCTATAAATAACTATTTTCAAAACTTTTGTCCGTCTCTCAGTCAGCCTGGGGCTTCGGAATGACCCAACCGATGGTAAAGACGATATTACACGGTTCAATTTCGGTTCAATACTGCTTTCAATTCAATTGCTTCAATGGCATTGATACATCTGAATACATTTCAATGCGATTGCGCAATCTCATTGAAAGCTTAGATTCACCAAACCCTTTCAATGTAATGGTGGCAATATTGGCCACTGTTCAATGCGGTTGAAACGTGTATACATGAAGAATAAACGGTGACTCATTCCGCGCACCGCACGACAGCAAAGCATACGCACGCGCACCTATTTCGCCTGCGCACCTTTTCGAAAATGGGTTTTAAGTGGTGGATCCACACGGCACAGACTTTGGTCTGCGCAGCGTGTCTGTACAGATTTAAGTCGGTGCAAATGAGACGTGTGGACGTAAAGTCTCAAGTTGGAAACGCTATCTGTGCATTTTTGATTACTGGCATCAAAAAGTCAGCGCAGACATGCGTGTTTGCGCAGACTACTGCACTGTGTGGACGCCTGTTCAGACTTGTTTAAGTCAAAATACGACAATTTTGGTTTATTGATTCACAGTTTGCTTTGTTTTTATCAAAAAATTAACGATTTAAAAATATTCAAGAGAATTCTTAGCTCAATTTATAGATCTGTACAAGTCTCTTCCAGCTGTATGGGAAATTAAGTCCAAAGTTGACAGTAATAGGGATATGACCTAAGCCAATGAGATATTAGTGAGAAAATGGCAAGAAGTTGGACCAAGCGCAGACCGAGATTTCGTAACGAAAAAGATAAATAACATGAGATGTCTACAGGCCTGAATTGAAGAAAATTAACACTGAATATTCTGGTATGGGTACAGATGAAGTCCCATCCCCAATTTTGTGGTATTTCCACTTACTTTACTTTTTGAGAGACCTGGAGGTGCCTAGACGTTCAATATCTAGTTTGGACGAGGAAAACACTCAGGTAAGGCAAAATTCAAACATTCATTATATCAACGCTATTACACACTGCTATAATTATGTCCTTAACTTATAATAAACAGGTATTCTGCCCGTGTTACTCATTCAATCCAAATCTGTGATATTGCCAAGGTACACTGCCTTCATTATTAAAATAATCAACGCAAGTGTTTCGAACACGCTTCGCAATATTTGATTGGTGTCCAGCATTTGTAGATACTTGTAAATCTCTGTGTGTATCTGTGCTATAGCTTAATGTAATTTGACGATCGCAGCTCTCAACATCCAAGGCTCCACTGGAATTGTACTGATTCGATTTTCTGCGCAAAATGTTGTGCAGTACACATGTAGCCGTGACTACGTTGTCTATCTTATCTACGTTCAAGTTAATGTCGGTTTTATACACACGAAACCGATTTGCCAAAATTCCAAACACGTTATCGATGACTCATCTTGCTCTGGAAGTCTTTGTGACTAAATGGTTTCAAGAAATCAGGTCTCAATGTGAAGGCCTCATCACCAACAAAAACATAATTAGAATTAGAATCAGGTGTTACTTTGCGGAAAAACATTATAATAAAGATATTGATTAATTTGTACTACTAGTGGTTAGTAAATCAACAGAAATTATTTAGGAGCCGCCGAGACCTGCGCCTCAAAAGGCGAAGCCCACGGAGGGTAAAAAAAAGCCCGCGCAAAGCCGCCAAGAAGGCCGCAGCAGCTGCACACGCCCCAGGTGGAACCGCAAAGACGGCTCCTCAACCTGCGCGGCGGACTGCCAAAGGCGGTCGCAAGAAACCAGCTGTACGTGTTCCGCGGTCCAATCCGGTGACGCTAACATTGCAGCCCGGAGCTGTGGAGCGTGGCGTGACGTACCAGTCGGTCATCACTGAGGCCAAGGCCAAGATCAAATTATCAGATCTTACCCTTCAGTCCTCTCAGTCAGAGACAAGAAAAGAGGTGATACCATTTTTTTTTATTTATTATAGGACAACACAACAGATTACATCACGACTTAAAGCTATAACTTACAAAAATAATGGTGTGATACAAGACATAATCCTTATACGTATTATCACGGCATGCTAAGATTGAGAAACAAACATTTTAAATAAAATTGCTTAAACAGACTCACAATTCCAACAAATCAAGAACTATTAATATAATGAATATCGATCGACGGGGATGTCCTTGAGAATGTCTTTCAAAACATTTCTAAAGCGAACCAGGCTAAAGTTGAAGATGTCAAGGTTGGTAAAGCGAAGGCTATAATCCTCATAAAGTCGACATAACCTTGATAGGGGTTGATTTCGAGAGATATTATTTCGCGATAGGGGTATGTCAAATATTTTTTTCATAGGTCTACGTGGGTTGTGTTTTATGTTAAAATTTAACAGTTCCAAGGATTCGGGGCTATCCAGTTCCGAGTGTATTATTCTGTGTAGGTTGACTAGGTCCAATTCGTCGCGACGGAGGTGAAGTGGTATCATGTTAAACTCTTTAAGCCTCTTAATGAATAAATCTGGAGAGTTCGTAGTATCAGGGATTGAGGAAGCTCTTAATATGGCTGAGAGACAAGTTGAACAAACGGCTTGTGTTGCCAATCAAAAACGGACTGCCCTGGGGCTGCCTAATTTAGTCGGAGATGACAACCGTTCGGCAATGGTTCTCAACCAACAGGTTCTCGACGATGTCGGAGTCATACTGATGGTAGCAGCCAAGTCGAGAAATCTGAAAGGCCCATTTCAACGTGCCTTAAAAGATGCTGCCACGTCAATAAAAACAGTCGTGGAGGTCCTACATAAGAGGTCAATGAATGAAGAAACGGCGAAATTGCAGGCTGATAACACCTGTCTGCGCAGTGAAATAGAGGAGCTTCGTAAAGAGCTATCTGAGATGCGGCTTGAAGTGGCGAGGGTCAACAAAACACCTGCTCCACCAACTCCTCGGGTGCGAGGAGACAAGGAAAGTGAGGAATTGATAAGTTCCGTTATGCGCCAAGTTGGTGGTATGATGGACCGTCGTTACATTCGATTCGATGTCTCCACTTCTCCAGAGGATCTGAGCGTCAGTCTTCCGGTCAGAAGGCATATCCCATCATTTACCAAAAGATGGGTATTGAGAAGTATGAGTAGAGATGCTGTCATTGAAGCCTCTATTGTTCAATCGTGGCTGTCCCCATCAAATGGGCCTGTAGAGGTTAAGACGGAGGCAACTTGGTTTTGGGATGCTATGAGACACATCTGTGACGCAAGCATGCCCCGCGCCAAACACCCTCCTCCTAGGCGCCAGGTGTACTGGTGGTCCGTAGAGATAGCAGTTCTAAGCGCTAACTGTGTGAAAGAGAGGCGCTTGTATGCCAGGTATCGCAGAAGACGGCTTCGTAACGATACTGTAGAAGAACAGCTATACGAAAAGTATAGAGAATGCCGGAAAATTCTGCAGCTGTCCATTCGCGAGGCTAAGACACGCTCAAGAGAGGAGCTCTTAGAGACCCTCAACCGAGATCTAAGGGGGCGCCCGTATAAGATGGTCAGGGGCAAACTTCGACCTTGGGCGCCTCCACTCACGGAGAGTCTCCAACCTCAATTTGTTAAGGATCTGGTGGACGCGCTATTTCCAGATCGGGTGGAGTGGTTACCACCAGCAATGCCCTCTGTACAGGAGATGGAAATAGTACAGAATGAGGTGCCACGAGTGTCGCAGGAGGACTTGGTGCGGCAGTCTTAAAACTCCGAGTAAAAAAAAACAAAGCTCCAGGTCCCGACGGCATTCCTGGCCGCCCCTGGGTTTTAGCCTTCAAAAACTAGGGGAACGATTCCGCAGGCTACTTGATGCCTGTCTGGAGATGGTTGGCGGGAAGGCAGGATATTAAGGAGGGTAATGTCGTGCGGAGTTCCACAAGGCTCGGTTTTAGGGCCGCTTCTTTGGAACGTCGGTTATGACTGGGTGTTGCGGGGAAACCTTCCCCCGGGTGCTGGCATAATCTGCTATGCAGACGATACTCTGGTCACTGCCCGGGGGGAGACGTATGAAGCAGCCGTTCGTATTGCCACTACGTCTGTGGCACAGGTTGTTGGCAGAATTAGGATGTTGGGGCTGGAAGTGGCGCTAAGCAAGTCCCAGGCCATCTGTTTTCACAGGCCTCGAAACGCACCGCCACAGGGATCCCACATTATTGTTAGTGATGTCCGTATTCAGATTGAGTCCAACATGAGGTTGGACTCAATCTGAATCTCACCTTGGACTCATCCTGGATATCCGTTGGAGCTTCCGCGAGCACTTTAGGTGCTTGGCCCCCCGGCTAATGGGAGCGACAGCTGCCTTAAAGTGGCTGCTACCCAATGTCAAAGGGCCCGATGCGAATTACCGCCGTCTCTATTTGGGGGTCGTTCGGTCCATGGCTTTATACGGGGCCCCTATATGGGTTAGGGCTCTGACGGAAAGAAGGCCGCAGAGGGCGATGTCCGTCGGAGTCGTGCGAGGATACCGGACGATCTCCTTTGAGGCGGCTTTGGCGGCGTCCCCACCCTGGGATATAGAGACGGAGTTCCTTGCATCTATGTACGATTGGCGCTTGGAACTTCGAGACCGAGGGTATCGCCCCTCTCCCAGAGAGTGGCATTTGCGAAAGCTCCTCACTCGGCAACTTGTGCTTGAAAAGTGGAAGGAGCGTCTAGCCCACCCAAAGGCAGGAAGTAGGACTGTCGATGCTGTTCGTCCGGTCATGTTAGACTGGACAAACAGGCGGCATGGGTCACTGACCTTCCGGCTAGTTCAGGTGCTTTCCGGCCATGGGTGCTTTGGTAAGTATCTGTGCCGTATAGCCGGAAGAGAGCCGACAATTGAGTGCCATCACTGTGGCAGCGACGAAGACACGGTGCTGCATACCCTTTAGGTTTGCCCGGCTTGGGCTGACTTGCATCAGACCTCGTGGCTTAGTGGAGGACGACCTCTCGCTTCCAGCTTTTATTAAAGCTATGGTTGGATGCGAGAGGACGTGGAGTGCTGGAGTATCCTTTTGCGAACAAGTGATGTCACAAAAGGAAGCTGCGGAGAGGGAGAGGGAAAAGACGGCAACTATCCCAATCCGCAGCTGGAGAGCTGGGCGCCGGAGAAGAGCATATCAGGCTCTCTTCCACCCCCCATAATTGAGGCTTAGGGGGCGGACACCGGGGTTATCCGTCACCTATTATGTAGGGCCTCGAGGTGGCGCGTACGATGTGATGGTACTCCCCTACAAGAAGAAGGCATCGAGTCGGACCCTGTAAGGGCTGTCGCCGTCGGGACTGCGGTAGTGTGCGAAAGCGTTCCCGTAGCCCTGACAAATGGTGAAGAGATGAACACAGTGGGGTTTTGGCCGGTAGGAGTCCGGCATAACCTGTCTGACGCCTACGCGACAGATGGGTATCCATGAGGATTTCCCCACGTAAAAAAAAGGTAGAACTGTGACCACAAAGAACGAGCTTAGCGAGCGCATCGAGCGTGCCCTTGAATTCGGGGAGTTTCTGCAGATGTTAACATGTTAGTGGAATAGTTATGACAAGTGCGTCGATAATGATATAAATCTCGGGTTTTTTTTATCCGTTTATGGGCCCTGAGATATTATTAACTTATACTGCTGTACACAGTATAAGTTAATAATATCTCTTATACTGTGTAAAGCGGTATAAAGTTATCGATTAAATCGAGCATTAAAAGATCGATTTTCGATTAATCGCGCCATTTTCAAACATGTAATTTCAAGAATTTGCGATTTTTTCTTTAAAACGCTTGTGTTAGGAGTGGTATACACATACGCCACTCGATCCCTTTTTATTAAGTGATTCCATGTATCACTTCTATTTGACATTTTAGGCTAAAAGCAACCCCCCCCCCCCCCCCCCGAACGGGTTCCCGCCTTGTCGTGGCGGGAGGGCTTAGTAGCCGTGGCTTGGTCTCCCACGGTGAACAAAGAGGAACCCACGTGGCTGGCCCGAGGTGAAGGGCCGGCCTGAGGTGGCCACTCCGAGTGGGCTTGGGGAGCCCACTTCGGATGTGTGCCGGTGGACTGCAGCGAGTGGGGACTCGCGCACCCTCTACCGCTGCAGCCGAGGTGGAGTCGCGGAGGAAGAGGAGTGTTGGTATGACGATGCGCCACTCGCCCTATCCTTCGCGACTCAAACGGGGCCGCACCGTTGATGCGGTGGTGGTGGGGCTGCGGGGGGGAGATGATTGTCGGTATTGCGAGGCGCCGCTCTCCCTACCCTCCGCAGCCGAATCTTGGTTGGCGGCGGAGCCATAGACCAGATCCGCCGCTGGGGTCGGGAAGGCTAGTACTTCTAAGTGCTCGTTTTTCCTGGCCCCATGGCCTTTGTGCATCGGACGCGGGGGCGTCTGTTGCACAGACGTAATTGGAGGCCGTGGAGGAAGGCGCGCCATGTGTTCTGGTGCGCCTTACCTGGGAAGGTGAACGGGGAGGAATTTTCCTCTCCCGAGGAGGTGCTGCCATGGGGCGGCAGGCGCTAGTAAGGCCGCGGACGTGTGCGAAAGCGTTCCCGTAGCCCTGCCAATATGCGACAAAGGTGGAACACCATGGGGTTTTAGTCGGTGCGAGTCCGACATAACCCGTCCTTGCCCCCGCGAGGCGGGTATGCGTAGGCATTTCCCCATGTAAAAAAAAAAGGCTAAAAGCAACAACATTACTTTAACAAAAGTGCAAACTGCAACGTACATTTCTCGATAAATCTGTTTCAATCTAATAACTCACTATTTATCAAATTGAAATGAATGCTAGAACACAATACTGGTTATTTCCTAACTATAAACCTCTATAAATTTCAACATTTAATATTTATTTACAGTATTTAGGTATTTAAAAAGTACTCTGCCTGTACTTACAGCTCACAGTATGTATGTTTTTAATAATAAATAAAGTAAATTTGGATTAATTAATTTTGGAATTAACCTCACCTACGCTTTTTAATTTATATATAAATGAACTGATTGATAGACTCGGGAGTGCACTTGTCGGCTGCTCTATTGATGGACTCTGCATGAACAACATCAGTTACGCAGTCGACATGGTGCTTCTGAGCCCGTCAGTCAGTGCAGTCAGACGGCTTTTGTTCATATGTGAGGTTTATGCAGAAGCCCACGGTCTAAAATATAATGTTGCGAAGAGTGAGCTCATGGTGTTTAAGGTGGGCACGAAGAATCTGTAACTTTAGGGGCACTTAAACGAGTAACTGAATTTAAGTATCTAGGCCATGTTGTTACCGAAGATTTAAAAGATGATAAAGGCATTGAAAGAGAAAGGAGAGCACTGGTTGTCCGCTGCAATATGCTGGCCCGTCGGTTCTCACGCTGTACAGCCGAGGTAAAAGTTATTTTATTTAAGGCCTATTGCCAATCCCTCTATACGTATGCCTTATGGGTCTGACATACGCGGCGGGCATACAACACCCTACGTACACAATATAATAACGCTTTTAGATTATTGCTGGGGCTCCCATGTTACTGTAGTGCATCAGGTATGTTTGTTGACGCCCACGTAGACAATTTTTTAACACTTATTCGCAAAAGAACTGCGTCACTGATGCACAGGTTTCGTGGGAGCGCCAACAGCATTCTTAACGTAATAAGTGAGAAACCCGAATGTACTTTTTTGAGGCACTGGATTCATGTCCATGTACCCATTGCCTCGGACAGGCACCCCAGGTATATGAACTAATTTGTTACCTAATTTTACTTACATATATTTAAGACTTTTTCTTTATTTTTTTTTTTGAGACCAGTATAAATCGATTGCGCGTAAAAAATGATGTTTATCGTACTAATTATTTGTTTGCGCGTCAAATATTTGTTTAGATATTTAAAAAATAAGGCGGGTGCTGTGAAATAATAAATTTTTATTTTTTCCTTAAAATGATGGTAAAAGAATAATTAAACGATGTAAATTTGGCGATCTTCACATGCGCAATCAGCACCCGATATCAGTTTATCCATAAGTTATTTATTGACATCGTAAATAAATAATTAAATAATCCCATAACATCAGCTGCAGCGTCCGAGCTCGAGAGTGCGATATCCCTAGTACGCGAGCGCTTAAAGCGCTTTTTTCTTTAGTTGCCAGCAACAGCTTCCTAAAGAGCTTTGCCAAAAACCTATATTATTTATGACTTTATAGTTTAAAATCCTTTTAGTTTCCATAAAAAGTTATAGTTATAGATTAAAACCTCTTTTATTATATTTTTAAGTAAAAAAAAAGAAAAAATATGGTGGCAAAATTTTTAGTAATTTGTTACGCCAAGGAAAATTTATATTTTTTTAAATATTATGTTAAACAACGTTACCTCCAAACTAGGATTTTCTCCTGTATCGTGGAGGCAGTTTACAAACATAAATTTCACAAGGACAAACATCCAGACCCGGAACAATTACTTGTAGGCCATACAAATACTAGTTCCGTGCGGGATTCGAACCCGCGGCCCTTAGCGCTGTAACTCGTTGCTAAGCTACTGCGCCACGAAGCCGTCAAAATATTGTTATATTGATATTAATGAATGAGTCGAGATAAAATGTTAGAAGCCGTGGGCATGTTACAAAATGTACAACGCCTCGTTGCTGAGGCCCTGCACACCAGCCAAAACGTGATATCAAGATTGTGATCACGTTATCGCAGTACTGGGGATGTGGTTGAACGGCACACGGATATCGTGTGCCGTTCAACATTCGACACAGAGACGTGATCAATTTTTCCAAATAATAGACAACCCAATATTAAAGCGATGCAACTACTACAAAGGCTCCAGGATGACCACCAACATGTTTTTTTACTTAAAAATATAATAAAAGAGGTTTTAATCTATAACTATAACTTTTTATGGAAACTAAAAAAGATTTTAAACTATAAAGTCATAAATAATATAATAAGTTTTTGGCAAAGCTCTTTAGGAAGCTGTTGCTGCCAACTAAAGAAAAAAGCGCTTTAAGCGCTAGCGTACTAGGGATATCGCACTCTCGAGCTCGGACGCTGCGGCTGAAGTTATGGGATTATTTATTTACGATGTTAATAAATAACTTATGGATAAACTGATATCGGGTGCTGATTGCGCATGTGAAATCCTACAAATTTACATTGTTTAATTATTCTTTTACCGTCATTTTTAAGCAAAAAATAAATATTTATTATTTCACAGCACTCGCCTTATTTTTTTAAATATCTAAACAAATATTTGATGCGCAAACAAATAATTAGTACCGATAAACATCATTTTTTACGCGCAATCGATTTATACTAGTCGCATTTTTAATAATTATTTCCGAGTGCCAACTTCATGGACCTCTATAATATTATATTGTAGTGTGTATAATTATGTATAGCCCGTTCACCGTAAGATGTCCCCTGCCTTGGGAAATGGTAGCAATGTCTACGGTGCTGCCAACAATATATGGAGCATTTACCCCACTTGGTGGTTGCTGGCAAAATTATCTAAACTTGAAAACCCCCGATTAATATGTTTTACTTGCTTATTTAAGTAACATACAGTTAGTTATAAGACTAGTAAGGTTGTGAATGATAACACAATTTAATTTTTAAATTATTTATTGATTTATTTTTTCCGACAATAATTATGGTCGAAACAATAATTATGGTCGGAACAATTCCAGACATACTCGTATCACTGTCACTTTCATAAACGTCGTCATCATCATCTGTCATATCCGAATCTGTGCTGCTGTCATTTCCTAATTCAATTTTTTTTTATAGGATAGGGTGACAATCGAGCACACAGTCCACCTGATGGTAAGTGGTTGCTGTGGCCCATATACATCTACATCTATCCTCGATTACGAATCAAAATGCAGATGTGTTGTCACCCGTGAGGACTAAGATGGAATGCCTCGTTTCCAGTAAAATGGGTCGCCGGTTCTCTACACTCACCATACGAAATACAGCAGCATTAAGCTACTATTTCACGCTGGTATTCTGTGAGAGCGTGGTCCTTCCCCGGTCGAGCCGACCCATTCGTGCTACAACTATACATCTAATATAACTGCAGCATGGCTCTACCACGTAAAAAATCAATTATGAATTTATCAGTAATATCATCCATACAGCCATCAAGTACATAAAACTTGTCTTCTAAATTTTTTACGTGTTCACACTGCTTTTGCCAATCCTGAGGGGTTATAGATGAAAAAGCTTCTTCAGTTAACTTCACGATATACCCAGCTTCTTGGCCGACATTATTGCTGGCTACTCGTCTCTTTAAAAGACTCCACATAAACTAAATCGCAGTGGTAAGGGAGCAACCTAACCACTTTATGGCCATGAGAAAGCAATAATTGGTCAGCCTCATAAATCGGCGCTTCTTTGTGCTCTTTTATAATTTCATAAAGTTCTGCTTTCAGCATTGTTGGTATATAAGACAATCTCTTATTAGTTATCCAATTTTTCATTTGAAGTTTTGAAGAACTCAGTGGTGCTTTATTTTTACGGTGATAGGGAGGTTATCCATGACAGGAGTTCGGAGGCAAATTGGTTATAAGTTTCTCTGAAAGCCATTTTATAAAATTGGTTCTGTTCATGTCGTCATGGTAGTCCCCTGATTTACTCTGTGATTTAAAAATCAATTGAACATTAGGAATAAACCCTATTTCTCCACCTGCATTAATAATTTTCCACCGCGTTCCAACAGAATCACTTATTAGTACTCCGTCCTCGTCATCTTTTTGCCAACCTTTTTTTACTGCATACGATGCGTGAATGTATGTTTCATCTAAGAAAACTATTGGCCGACCATCTGCTCGATTTTGCCTCATAGTAAAGATATACGGCACGCTAGTACAATAAAGTGTCAAATGATGACGTCATTTGCATTGGACAGTACACTGCGTAGTATTTCGGAACATACCCCATAGTGTTTCTCTACAACGGGAACTAGATTTCAATGTTGGCAACACTGCTTAGATATCTATGGGTATGTTCCGAAATACAACGCAGTGTACTGTCCAATGCAAATGACGTCATGAATCGACGCTATACTGGTGATTCGTTCCAAAACATTGGACAGTATATGACGTCATACTTTTGCGCCATTTGGAAAAGTGTTGGCGATTATTTTGTCATTTTGTGCTCCAAAAATCATTATATCCTCCTAATGGATATACCATCAATTATTCTATAATTTTTTGTATTTGAATAAATAGAAACAAATTCTGGCATGCTTCATTCGGCAAACACACAATTAAAAATTGTTTTATTATGGCCGGATATCCGACTATAAAGTGTCAAATGATACGTCATTTGCATTGGACAGTATACTGCGTTGTATTTCGGAACATATCCTATGTTTTCAAAATTACGAGGCTAACAACCATAGATTACTGTAGCTTGCTACATATTTATTTATCTATGATTAAATCTAGAGACTAACAACTAACATGAAACTCAAATAAACTACAAAAATTCGAAGTATCTTGATGTTACTAGTTTTTGCTGTTTGTTTCACTTACTTCAATAAAAGTGTAGAAATTTGCCAACGTTTTTAAATATTTCCAAATATGGCTGATGTAGGAACCAAAGAACAATCTATCACTAAAGTTCCTATGATATATGTGTGTGGAGGTACTGTATATTGTTTGCTTAGTACATATTCTTTGAGGTTATGACTACCCATAAACTTTCGCTAAGAATAGTATTTTAAACGACAAATCAAATTAATATTTATACATAATATAGATATGCGTAATATACAAGGGCGTACTGAGGAATTCGTGGGGTCGAAGGGTTAACACTTCTTATGAGGCCTACCAATTTAATCAAACTAACAAAAACTGTTTTCTAATGATATATACGGTTTGACAAAAAGTTTGGACAATGGACAATATTTTATATATTTATTAGATACACAAGCAATTGTAACACATTGCAAAATAAATTAACAGGTTATGTGTAGTAGTAAATAAATTATAAAGACTCCTAGATTTTTGCGCTGCAAATTATACCCATCACTTTGTAAGTCCTTTGTTAAGTTACAATTTATGGAAAGAACTGATAAATTATTTTGTTAATTGTTTAATATTGTGGTCCTATATTTGTTTTTTATATATGACATCCTGGAGAAAGAGCGCTCTACTCCACATCTTGTGCTCGACAGCATTAAAAAGTAGTAAAGCAATTTGACAAAATATCAACAAGTTTCTTTTCATATTTCACTGTAAGAGATCTAATTATAGATTTTAACGGAATGCTCACTCATTCCTCTACATCATGGAGATAATCAATAATATAGTATATACTTTCCAAATCTATATTTTCCATATTATTGTCTTGCAAATCCATTAAAAATTTGAATTTCTTACTATATGTCTCATAGAATTGGCTTCTTTTATTTAAATTCAAAATACAAAACAGCTTATACAACACAATATTTAGCATGTCTCTTAAATTTTTCTGCTAAACTGAGACTTCATCTGAAAAATTTGGAGTAATCTGTCTCTTGTTTATGTCATGTCTATATTCTGCTCCCTTACTGGCGTTGATTTTTTGCTTTCTCCTCATATATTTTTGATCTGATTGGTGTCATATGTCACTCACAAACTCTTTTAGTTACATAACTTGTTGCCTTCACAAATATCCTCTCTAAATTATTTTCTCAAAGAGTAGTATGGATTTTCAACTTTTTATTAAACAAATTTTATGTCTCTTCAAAAATTTACTTTATCATCACCATTTCCACTTAGTCATGAAATTTTCATAATACCCACAGCACTATAACCCATAAATACTTATATTTAATGATTAATTTTCTATGAAGAAGTTTGTTTCAATCAATATGAAATTTTCTATCCTCTAGCTCTAGTTGAATAAAAATTCAGTTAGTCTATAGATTTTCATTTATAATCTACATTCAAAGTGCATCATTGTCGAGTGTTCCTTGTTGTACATTTTTGTGTTGATTTTAGGATTTTTTTAAGTTTAGAACAGTTTTTATATTTTAAAGTTTTTGTGTGAATATAATTTATCTTTTTACGTAAATAATTTCCAGTAATATATAGAAATAATTGTAATTTTCATGCTACCGACATCTGCTCGGTATGTAGTTATCAAAATACAATAAAGTATTTTTGTAGTGATTATATAATGCCAAAAGTTTTAATGGCATGCATCCGTCAAATTGCGAGCGTTCGCATGAGACCGCACCCATCCACAGCACTTTAAACCATTAAAACTTATATTTGTGGACTACTTTTCTTTAAAGAAGTTTGTCATTATAGAATCTATACGAAATTCTTTATTCTATAGTCTAAACAAAAGTCAGTTACTGTACGAATTTAAATTTTTATTTACCATAAAATTGTGCCATTTTCGTATGGTCGGCATATGTTGCAAATTGACAGGAGAATAAAAATAAAATACATAGAGTAACCGACTTTTGTTTAGACCACAGGATAGAGAATTTCATATAGATTCTATAATGCCGAACTTCTTTGTAGAAAAGTAGTCTATAAATATAAGTTTTAATGGTTTGAAGTGCAGTGGGTGGGTGCAAACCGCTCGGGATTTGACAAATGCATGCGACTGCATGGAAATTTTAAGAGGGTTAAATAACAGCTTACATTCATGTATGTTACAATTAACAATGCAAAACAAATTAAAAATGCTTGGTAGCAATCACCATTCCCAGGGTTATTATCACCCATAAATTGTTGAAATTTTGTACAACCACTATGGGTTGTACAAAATTTTTAATTTTACCACTTGTGTTTCTGTGAATTACAATTGACCCTAAACTCATATGTTTTTGTTTACTTTTGTGATCTTAATAGTATTTGACCATTCAATTTGTTTACAATACAGCAGGTCCTTCTAACAGATACAATTCTCGGAAAATAGTGATTGAATAAAGTTGCTTAATGAGGTATGTCATAATAAGCAATGTTTTTAAAAGTAGTGTTTTTATAAGGCGATCATATTATAGCATTTAGCTGGGATATATGATTTTGGTCTATATAACTGGTATGTTAACTGATAATCGATGACAAGAAACTAAAACTGTGGTATTAGTCTATCATTTGTTAACCATCAGATCAGATTTATTAATTTTATGACTAACCTCTACTATTTTTCTAAATGAATTATGTACTCCAAATGTGACATTGCGAACACAGCGGCAGCGACAGTAACAGTCAACAGCGACAAGCAAGGGAGCCCGCGACAGGATTACTTTAGTGCTATAATTAGTTCATTCAAATTTAGGGACTATGGTTATAATAGAAAATTTTTCCAGTATGAAAATTCTTTACTTATGGACCCAAAGGAAACTGATGATCATGAGATTTTTTTGTGCCAGTATTTATAAAAGAGATCCCAATAAATTCATATATGTATATATTGTCCTTCACAAAGTTATTATAAATTCGTCTAATTTTTATCACCTGGTTTCATTGATTTTTTATTTGTTTGCTACTAAAATCAAAATTCACACTTGGAGGCATGCAAAACTACTGGTTTGGAAGCAGCAATGTTGCATCGCTTGCAAAACAGGTATCAGTGCTATGCTTGTTATAAACTTTATACAAGTTCACAAACATAGCAGTATAAATCAGTAGTGTTGTTGTCGCTTGGCTATATACACGCTCATGTATCTGTCAATCTTCACTGTTGCCGTATATGGAATGCCACCTTTAGTTGTAGACATTTTTTTATTATTTTATGGTTTACATTAGTAATGCAAAAAATACTACTTTTACGAATATGAATATGAATATCAAACCATCTATTTGGCGAATACGAATACGAATATCTCGTCATTTTTTTTAAATATTAGTAATCCTATTAATTAACATTACTAATATTTCCTTTAACCACTCCTGGTAAGCTGAAAAATGCTTGTGTTAAGAGTGGTTCACGACAGTAGTCGAATGGTGGATTCGAACCTGCGACCTCTTGAGTTCGCGGTCCGCGCCCTGCCATTAGGCTACTGTAGCTTCAAAATCATGGTCATGGTAATGAAAAACTAATTTATTTGATGATTTTCTATTGTTTTAATAATTAAAATTTACAACAAGCAAATTTTTATTTAAGAAATATAAAATTTGTAGATTTTCTGGTTTTAGGCGATTTCTTTTTTCAGTTTCGATGTTCCCAACCTGTACATAGTTTCAGTGAAAAATATTTTTGGGCGAGTTTTTTCAGCCTTGGGAAATGGACATCTTCTCGCCAAATAAGAGACCAATGGATCAGAGGCAAGATTTAAGACTTCGTATTATTGGGATTGCTGGAGATAATGTCGTTGCTTCTCTGCTTAGCTCTTTAGTAGCTTCTTCAAAATTGGCCAGAATATCAATTATTTGGTTCATAAGAGCCCATTGCCTTGCTGTGATTTCATGACGACAATTTGGTACAGATGGTATCCTATATTGCGGTCGCGAACTGTAGCTGCTACAACCTCCCTGACGCGATGGGAATGATGATCATCAAGGAGCTGCTCGTAAGTCACTTTCTTACCGAGAGCTTCCAAAACAGTTAAGGCTTGGTCTCGCAGGCCTAGGGTGAGTGCAGTCATGGCCTTACTTTTATTCCAGCCGTTCGCCTCCGTTACAGCCTCGAACTGGATTTTGTAGGGTGACCAGGAAGAAGTCCCGTCAAACGGCAGCACTTTGAATCAACGTAGCGAAGGTGTTGTTGCTACTACGGGAGCTGTAATTCCATCCCCAAGTTTGAGGTCGTCCAGCGTTTTCTTCACGTCGGCCATTATGTTGTCAACCCGATTGTTCACTTGGTCGATTCGGGTTTCAGCTTCCGTCAAGCGGTTGTCATGTTGAGCAACCCTATCCTTCACCTCCCTTATCTCTTTCCCAATGGTAGCGTGAAGGTCCTTCATGAGGAGCATCAGCTCTTCTAACCGACGGGCCTGTTCCTCTTGTCCGCCCCGCAGCTGCTCGTTCAATCGGCGGGTCTGTTTCGCCTGCTGATCTTCCAACCGACGGACCTGTTGCTTCTCTCGGCGGGCCTGTCCCTCCTGCTCCAACAACCAACTCTTCCTCCTGTTGGTGAGTCTGCTCCTGCAGCATCAGCATCAGAACACCTAAGTCAGGTGCTACAGACGTTAGGAGCTGCTAAAGGGCCGGCCTCCATGACCGGAGGCTGGCCCTCCGACGTCTGCAGCGTTACACCACCAAATCGTCTCTGGTCCGTCTCCTGCTGGCGTTGACTTTGGGTACGGACACCCTATTGTGTCCGTGTCGTCCACACGGAGTGTGTCCGACGACACGACGTGTCGTCCTTCGGTAAAATCGGCATGACTTTATCCCACCTCTGACGCCAATTGTTACGAGCTTAGGGTTCGTGACAATAAAAACTGCCGATTGAATTACCAAAATTGACACTTTAATTATCGAATACCAATTAAAACTTAAAACACACTAATAATTAATCACACTTAACACTTTAGTTCACTTTATTTCGCTCCTAAGTCTTCACTTGCATCGCCAATTCAATACTGCCCCGGTCGCGGCCCTAAAGGGCTTAGGGCCTTTTCCACCGAAAGATCTAGAATGTTCCAGCAAATACCGGTCTCGACAGACTAGGTGTAGAAAATTCTAAAAAAAGAGTGTGGAGTTTTCTCGAAAGCTTAGTTCTTCTATTTGATAAAAAATGGCGCTAGTGCCATGTGCCAGGCATTAACTGTGCTGCGCAACACTATTACATTATTATAGTGCTTATAAGAACTTAGAAATTAAAAAAAAATTATATACTTTAATAATAAAATATTACTGTAGTAATATTTTGAATTTTAGCTCTTTTATCATTTATACAGTTAACAAATTAAATGTTTTATTATTAAATTATATTAATTATTTTACATACATGTACTAAAATTATTAAAGTAGAACTAATTTGTATTTTGGAATCACTTGGTGTCTGTCGCTCAATCTGTCACAAACTTTTTCACAAAGACTTACACATAGTTATGTTAATCACACATAGATGTACAATATAGTTTGGTAGCCCGGATAGGGTTACCAAACTATATTCTATGAAGGTCATACAAGTTTACGCACCGAAATGTGCACATTCCGATGAAGTGAAGTAAGAAATGTATGAGGATATCTCTAGAGTCATTCGTTCCTCCAAAATCATTTATACGGTGTTAATAGGATACTTCAACGCAAAACTAGACACAAGAGAGAACGGTGAGCTGAAGCTAGGGAAATACGGGATAGAGCAGCGGAACCCAAAGGGCCAGTGCTGGCCGACTTTATGGAGGAAAATGGACTCTTTATGATTAACTTTTTCCTCTAGAAGCGGCTCCACAGTAAGATGAACTGGGCAAGCACCGACGGTAGGACAAAAGAGAAGATTGACTTCATTATGACAACTAGACTGTAACTGTTCAATGATGTCTCAGTGATCGCGAGGATGAAAACTGGCGGCGATCACAGAATGATGAGAAGCACACTGAACCTAAACGTTAAATTTGAGAGGTCACATCCAATGAAGTCAACGCCCCTCGTGCTCTAATCCAAAGCTCCTAAAACTTTCAACTCAAGTTACAAAATCGCTTTCAGTGTCTAGAAGACTGCAATGCAGTAGACGATGTGAATAACAAGCTCATGGAAACTGTTCATGCGGTCGGACCTGATTTCTATAAGACCTGTCGCAAAATAATACTCTACAAAAACTCCGATCACACTTGTTAGTCTTATGGCTGTTAGACGAGAAATGAAGCCTTCAGCAGATTTGAGAGCATACTAGCAACTGAACAGACAGATATCCAATTACATGCGACGGGACTTACGCCACTTCAATATAAGCTGTATGAGCTGTCTCATTCTTGATCTTTACCGTAGGTTTATGTCTCCTTTTGTTAGCGAAATTGATGCCCTCCTTATTAACGTTGCACTTCAATTCCCATTTTTCGTATATTGATGGTTTCTGCTGTCCACTCAGCTAGTCTCGTTGCTGCTTTCAGCTCAACAAGGCTGTCAAGTGGCAGCCTCGTACTGGTAGGTGAAGTGTGGGGTGGTCCCCCACTAGATCCAGTGAAGACCATGCAAGAAATCGATGGATGCAAATGGCTCAGGACCGTGCTTTGTGCAATGATTTGGGGGAGGCCTATGTTCATCACTGATTTGTGAAGGGATGTAATGATGATGATGGGTTCTAATTTGCATTGCACCCCATAACATAAAACTTCCCGAGAAACGAGTGCTCATGATGAGCGTGAACGCCTCTTTACGGTCTCGTAGTGTTACGAGTTGCCACCTTGTAAAGTATGACGATGAAGTATAATTTATTTCACTTGTATTTTTTCTACATGTATAGTTTTTGTTGATTTGAAAAACATGTTACAATACATCATACCACTTTACTTTTTGCTCTTTGGACAATTGTAACTTAAACACCTACAGAATCTAGGGGTAAATCTATGAAGAGTTTTCTGATATAGTAAATGGAAAAATGATAGGTTATGTTTAGGTCTTTAATATAAAATAAAAAAATTACTCATTTTTTTGTTTTAAATAAACATGTTAATTTTTTTAATCGCAGTAGAAAATTAGTATGATAAATAAACTTCATTTCTTCTTATAAAACTATTAATTTTAATTACAAGTGAATAAATCTTATAAAATCTAATTACTAATAATTAGTGTAGCCTCTAACTTCTGATATTTAATTACACATCGACTTCAATTGTAAAACATACTTAAAATTAAATTGTCCAGTCTTGCTGCGGTATGATGTCCCATGTTCTTTGAAAGTGTTGGTAAAGTAGTTCCGTTGTCAAATTTGGCGGGAAATCTCTTATAGCTTTTCGTTGTAATATTTCCCAGGCTTGCTCGATAGTATTGAAGTCGGGCAACTGTGCAGGCCAATGCAAAACTTAAATATCGTGGTCTCGGAGAGTGGCCGACACCAGCTGCGCCGTATGGGAAGAAGCATTATCCTGCATAAGTAGAAATTTCTGACCCATTTGAATTTTGTGTGGGAAATTTTATACGAGGTAGAGCTACGCTGCAGCTATATTATGGTTGTAGCACGAATGGGTTCGTTCGATCTGGGAAGGACCACGCTCTCACAGAATACCAGCGTAAAATAGCAGCTTTATACTGATGTGTTTCATATGATGAGTGTAGAGATCCGGAGACCCTTTCTTACTGGAAACGTGGCATTCCATCTTAGTCCTCAGGGGTGACAACGCATCTGCGTTTTTGTTCTTAATCGAGGATAAATGTAGATGTCTATGGGCCACAGTATCCACTTACCATCAAGTGGACTAAGTGATCGTTTGTCACCTACCTTATTCTATTTAAAAAAAAAACTTACAGACTCTACTACCTACTCGTAGTATTTTTGTCTATTAATGCTGCCTTGGATGCAAACGAGCTGGGTTTATCCCCCTAAACCTGTCCACACCATGATTGTCCCGCCGTGGTATGTGTGGACCTCCTGAGGGTGCCGTAGACGGCTAACTCTCCTTGGAGTTCTCCAAACGCGTGTGCTTCGTAAATCCGGATGAAACACCAACCGGGACTCATCGGTAAACAGCACCGACGAACAATCGCCACCGGCTGCAATTGTCACGTCGCAATGCTGGAACATGGAGCGGTCTTCGAGCATGAATACCAACTTCATGCAACCTCCTTCTCACGGTTTGGTCGCTTACGAGCAGCTAGTGGTGGCCTTATGCAACTTTTGTAGTAGTTGCATCGCTGTGATTTTGGGTTGTTTTCTGGCGGTCATTTGGAAAAATCTATCCAGTCTCTGCGTAGTAACACGATATCTACCCGTGTGCCGTTCAGCCGCATGCCCAGTACAGCGATAACGTGATCACAACCTTGATATCACGTTTTGGCTGGTGTGCAGAGCCTCAGCAACGAGGCGTTGTACATTTTGTAACATGCCCACGGCTTGTAACATTTTATTCCGACTCATTCATTAATATCAATATAACAATATTTTGACGGCTTCGTGGCGCAGTAGCTTAGCAACTAGTTACAGCGCTAAGGGCCGCGGGTTCGAATCCCGCACGGAACTAGTATTTGTATGGCCTACAAGTAATATTTCCGGGTCTGGATGTTTGTCCTTGTGAAATTTATGTTTGTAAACTGCCTCCACGATACAAGAGAAAATCTTAGTTTGGAGGTAACGTTGTTTAACAAAATATTAAAAAAATATAAATTTTCCTTTTACCAAACAGTTTTACCGCCGTATTTTGTTTTTTCTTTTGATTTTTTTTTTTAAATTAAATTTTGATAGTAGAAAAGATAAGATAAAAGAAGATAAAACATCTTTCAATCTGTATATAAACTTTTTATAGAAACTGAAATGATTTTAAACTATGAAGTAGTAAATAATTTAGGATTAAGGTATCCCTAGATTCTGTTGATATGTTTATTTCTTATAAAAATCCGAATTAACATTTATTGTCCTTTTGTATACATTTTATTAGAATATGTAATGTCTGAAAAAATTCATATCCTGTGCCGGTTTTTTTATAAATTGTTCATATATGTTATTTAAAAAAATAACGGATTTTTCAAAAAATATATGTATAAATAATCAAATGGATATATTACAACATTTCATGCCATCCGTATACTTTTTATAACTTTGTCAGTGCAGGTCTCCTACTGAGTAGCGTGCCTATAATAGTTAATAGCATGATTTCAATAATTTTTGAACCCAATACCTTTAGTGTTTTATATATTTGTAAACATAAAGTTTACAAAACAATAAAACACTAAATATGTCAGTTGAATTTCAATCGAATAAAATATTTGTCTAAATAAATAATTTTTGAGATAATTATAGTTCAGCTTCACAAAAATCTTTACTAATACTAGTAGTGCTAGTGCTCTTGCGTCAGAAATATGCATTAAAGGGTAAGTACCTATTTTAAGAAATGGGCAAAAGTCCTTTTAAATATGAGTAAAGTAAAATAAATACACAACCCATAAAAAACAATTTAAGCTGCATGTATATGTTGCAGCCTAAATTGTGCTGTCATGAAGATGCCAGAAGGTTTACTAAGATCGGCGAAAAGAAGGAGCGTTATAGGTGCAAAAGGTCAGGTATTACGACCAATGAGGCTGCCAACTGTATTAACGATTATGGTTTAATAATAACAGTTAATCCTCCTTCTTTGGGAGAGGCTCATAATGTATTATTAGTCCAAATACGGTCTTGTAGTTTTGTCCACAATTACTCCACTACTTCACTGTGTTTTATTCTTATGGTATTTTATATTATTTCAGAATGCCACAGAGAGAACGAAATTAAACCAAGAGATCCCATACGATGCAGAGAGTGTGGATACCGTATAATGTACAAGAAGAGAACAAAAAGATGTATCCTTTTCATAATTTTATAACATAAAACTGTTTTAAACAAATAAATTCAAGTTTATTACTGAAAAACAACTGTACCAATATAGTTTTAAAAATCGGACACAGTTTCATCTATAATTAATTTTGCAACGGACTACTTTCGGCAATTCCACATCTAAAGCGTGTATTTTGCGTGTGATGATCTTTTAAAAATGTTTCAGGTCTGTATTAGTTTTACAGTTTTAGTAGTCCTCAGTTCTCTGGGTTTCAGATCTTTAAGTATGTTACATTTAATTGTATTTTGTAATACTACCTTCATTTTTAATAACATATATAAAAATCGGACATAATCGAGACCAACCAAGCTAAACACTAGGCCAAGTCCATATTTGATTATCTTGGCATAGTTTGACCAGGCGAATCGTATCTAATCATAGTCGTAGATAATGTTACAGTCAACTTGGGTAACTTTGAACAGTTTTTGAAGATTTTTACAAACTGAGTAAAAAAACTATATGAGAGAAGTTTGATTTTATTACGTTAACTGTGTTCTGTTAATGTTATTTACGTATTATAATATTCAGATTAATTAAAATACGCTTAATTCTTACTAAAATTGATGATTTAAATACCATTCAAAATTATCTTGAATTTTGAGTAACTTTGAACTGTTTTGTTTCTGAAGACTAAAACATATAATATTGGACTTATTTGGAGCTTGGGTAACATTAACTAGCATTTTTAATAAGAAAATAAAATTATGCTCTATGGCCAGTCGTTTGCAGTACAACTTTTTTTTATATCGCTTGGGGATGCCATATACAAACTAAATGTACCAAAAAGGAAGATACAAAAACAAAATTTTTATACATTTTTAACTGTATTTATAGACTTAAATTAATAAAATAAAATTTGCATTAAAATACTAGAGCTTTTTGGGTTTCATTTGAGATCAAAAAATATGTATTATAAGATGACATTTCTCATTAATATTTGACTTACAAAAATCTTACTCTCCCCACTCCATGAATAAAATTTCATCTTCTATGTATGTTATACCACCTTTCTTGGAGATTTGATGTTCTTTTACGATACTTACTATATCCGATACCTTTACTTTTAATATCTCGGCTTTTGAAGGCCACTTCCAACCTCCTAAAAAGGATTTTTGGAAAGCTGAAACCATAACAGTCGCGGTTGACAAATTTACTTTTCGTATTTGTCCTAGGAACCTGCTCCCCTCATTACTAAATATACAATAAGCATCTTTCACCAAATCTCTAACAAAATCATTTTTTTCGGTGTTATCTTCCTTGCGGGTTACTCCACTCTTATGTGACGTAGAGGCTGTTAAGTCACCGCTAGGTTCCACAACATATTCTTCTACAATTGGCAAATCTTTATCTTCCCATAATATTTGCTCTTCCGACTCTCCAATTGTAAAATCTCCTCGGATTGTTATGACCGGTGGCTCAACCTCTTGGTCTTGAAGCACAGATAGATTATCACCTATGTCAAGCATATATAAATCTTCAGCTATTTCTGGAGAAGGTGGTCTGTGTATCATAGCCTCAACGACGAACTTTGCGTGTCCTCCAATGTTTTGCGACTTAAGTTCATTTCCATCACCTTCTTCACCATGCTTAACAGTATCAACGACCTCATTGTTTTCACTGTCATTTTCTGTTGACAAGACTTCTCCAGAAGGAGCAGGATCCCTTTGCTTTTTCTTTTTCTTGTTTTTTGATCCCATGGGCCTGCCACGTTTTTTAGACTGGCTGGTTTCTACTTCATTTCCTGTCTTCGTTTTGGCTGTTTTTTCCCTTTCTTTATAATAATTTTCCACTTCTTCAACCGACACACTCTTCCCCCGCTACTACAGGTAATTGAAATTTTTTTCCTTTGGTTACTGTATTCAAATCCGATTGCCTCACATTTTCTATATAATTAACAAAACTTTCGCCAATAGTGTCGCTTATGTCCACAGTAGAGGTATATGCTGGAAGTTTGTTTAACACAGTATCTGGAGACAATGGATACAAACCACAACTTTTAAATCCTGCTCGTAGATTATCAGATGAATTGGCATTTCCATTTTGTAAAGTTTTTTTAATTAACTGGGCAAATAATGACTTCGGAAGAGCCAACACTTTCTTGCCTCTGCAGGTTTGACGATAATCATTAAGTACTTTTCTCCATGCCGATTTTACTGCCGAAAAATAGCCTACATCAAGGGGTTGAAGAAGATGTGTCGAGTTAGGGATTAAACAAATGAACGAAATATTATTTTCAGCACATAAGCTCAGTGCTTTAGGAGATATGTGCGCGCTTAAATTATCACACATTAATATTTTTTTACCCTCATCTTTTTTCACGAATGGAATGAATTGGTTTTCTAACCAATCTTCAAAAATTATTGTCTCCATCCATCCTGATTTTGAGACTGTCATTCTGGAACCTTCAGGGGGCTTGATATAGCCAATCAGACCAAAGTTTTACCCCTTTAAAAATAAAAAATGGTGGTACGAGCTCACCTGCTGCATTCCCACAGAAGACTATGGTAAAACACGATTTAGAGCTGTTTTTTATTACATCAGGGTGCTTGCAATCTCTACGAAATAGCAATTTCTTTTTCCCGGGATCATCATGAAACCCTGACTCGTCCATGTTATACAAATTTTGTGGAGCGACGCCTTCACTCTCCTTGGAAAAAATGATTAAAAAATTGTAAAACTTGCTCACGATTAAGTTGAGCTCTTTTTTCTCGGGATATTATGAGATAGTTTCTCCTTCAGTAAAGGGTGTCTTTCTAAAAATAATGTTCCCCATTCATAACCAGGCATATTGTCTCTGAATTGCGGCACAATCCTGTTGTTTTTATTTAGGTGATCTCTGACGATAATCCTGAAGTCTAACATACTCGTACTCAATGATAAGCCCACATCACTCAACAGTAACAAATGATTCTGAAAACTCTCCTCCTCTTCTGCGGTAAATGTAATAGGTCTTCCGATATTTTTGATATGTTTCTTATTTAATTTATAATATAATGTTACAGGTGGTATATTATAATGTTTGGAAGCATCCATCCTAGACATGGCACCTGACTGAATTTTATTAAGTGCCTCTTCCAAAATTTCTGGAGTGTAATTGCTTTTAGTTCCATATTTTCTAACACCAGGCTTAATTTTAAAGGATTTTCGCGGCATTGTACCTTTAAATAAAAAACAATTATGTTCATACATATGTTTTTTATAACATTTGGTAGCAACACATTCAAAGTTACCCCATCTAATAAAATACTAACAGGGTAACATTGAATGGTTCAAAGTTACCCAAAAATTTGTTATTTTTTACTGTATCTAATGATTATCAAATATATGGGTAAAAAAGGTTAGTAAATTATATGTTAATTGACAAAAAGATGAGTTAAAACTGTGCCAGTAATATTAAACACAAAACTTACCCTCTTCAGTTACGATATCTTTAAAAAAATGTAATTTAAATTCACTAATAAACTTTGTTGCAGACAGACCTTGTTTTCGCAGACGCACTAAAATACAAACTGACATTGACAAGTACAGTTTTTTTTGTTAAAATATAGTCTATACATTGAACTGTTTAGCTCGACACAATACCTTCTCTATTTGGATACTCTGGTACAGTTGTAAAAAATATTTAATTGTTAGTGAAGTTCTATTCAAAGTTACATTGAAATTCAAAGATACCCAAGTTGACTGTACCCATACCGAATTTCGATCACAGCGTCCTAGGGGCGTGAAACACCGCCAATATCCTGACTCCGGGCTGCTAGTGCGAACTTCTTGGCTAAAAAAAAATATGTATATCCTATACGATGTTTATATACGGAATGGAACATCAGATATGCTAAGACGACGTATCACATGATCGCGTATAATTTTGCGGCATCGTGATACTAGTCAGAGCAACGCGACGAAATCATGATTCTCGTAGCATTATTGCTATTTTACGCTGGTATTCTGTGGGAGCGTGGTTCTTCCCCGGTCGAGCTGACTCATTCGTGCTATAACTATAATATTATTACAATAATGTCCTCCAAGCTGAATTTCTATCACGGCGGCCTGTCTCAACGGGGACTAGCCATCTGCGCAGAACAGGATTATAGTGCCCAAGTGCATGCGCAAGCACAAGTGCCCTCTATTCTCTCACTCTCATAGTCCGACAGGACGGTAATTCGACACGACTGGAGAGATCCAGGCGCAGTACCATCAGATTTACGTGCTTTCCGAGGCACGGGCGTAAAACACCGCCAAATTCCGAACTCCGGGCTGCTACTAAAAATTTCTTGACGAAAACCCAATAACTGATGTTGGCCCGAACCGAGACCTCATGACCAGCAATCGACCTGCAATATGCAATCGGTCGTAATAGCATATACTAGATGGCGCTATCTCAAATAGAAAATTTTCGGTTCCTAATAGATCTCAGACTCACAGAGTACTGGAGCCTGAAATGATCCGTTTGAATGATCGATCCGAATGTACCAGTACACGTGACGCAATGTACTAGAATGATTCGGTCGCTAGAAATTGATGATTGACACATGTCTAGTACTTACTTCTTCACTCTCGTATTTTGTGCCTGGCGTAAGAAAAATGGCACACCGCCATCTGTGTTTTTGTTATATATATATAAACACATCAACAGAATCTATGGATACCTTAATCCTGAATTATTTACGACTTTATAGTTTAAAATCTTTTTAGTTTCCATAAAAAGTTTATCCAGATTGAAACTTCTTTTATTCTATTTTCAAACTTTAAAATGTAAATAAAAAACAAACTACGACGGCAAAATTGTTAGTAATTCGTTATTCTGAATTGCTATTAAAATTTTTATAATCCAAATAAATTATATTCAATTAATATATTTAATAATTATGTCACGTCTTCATTTGAGTCGAGATTAAACGAACCGTGAGCATGTTAGAAAAAGGTGCTATCCAACGCTTAGTTGCTGAGGCCCTACACACCAGCCAAAACGTGATACCAAGGTTGTGGTC